TTCAAAACTTGAAAACTGCAATTTCCTTTGCTCAACTGTCCTTAGTCTCTATGAAACAAGTGTGCAAGGGAATAGCTCCGGGCTAACTAACGCCTCCCTGCAGTTGTGTGCTCTTTAATCACAATAATGATTTTTAGCCATCCTTTCCCTGCCTCCCACCCAGCCAAATGCAACTGCAATAAGCAATCCTTCACAAACTTTAAATTACTTTTAACCCTTAGACATTCATAAATTAAGTGTTCGGCTTCGTTCCTTACACATAAAACATGCTATTTCTCTCCAATGCCACTTCCACTTCCCTCTCTATATGAGTTATCCATCCACAAAACTCTCATTCTTCTACTTATCAAATATGTATTGAGAGCTCACATATGCTAGACACTGCCAGGCATACAGTGATAAATAAAAATATGCTCTCACATAACTTTCAGGCTTGAGGGACAAGTAAACTCAAAAAATAAGTGTCAAGAAGGAGAAGAACATGGAGATTTGACTAGAGGGTTCCCCTTGCACGCAGCAGTCATGCCAGAACTGACATCTCATGCAGAGGAGGAGCTAGCAGGCAGCTGAGAAGAAGGGCTCGAAGTAGAATGGTCTCCAGGTAGAACACACCCCATGGCAAGAGGGAGCCTAGAGGAACACGAAGCAGGCCAGGTGAAAAGGTGCAGAGAAGACAAAAATGAGGTCAGGCAGGTGGACAGGCTTGTTCTTTAGTCACTCTCCAAAGAGCAAACGAAGAGAGTTAGAGTGGACTACAGTGATCATTCACTCAGCCTATTTGCTGAGCACAGATATGCCAGGACTGTTCAAACACCCAGGGAATCAGGGATGAAGAGAGACAAAATACCTACCCTCACGAGAGAGCACAGATGGTAAACAAGTAATATATACAGTCTGTACTGAGGAGGAGAAGGAAGGAGAAAATGGGAGGTGAGACTCTAGACAGGAGGAGAGGAGCTAGGGATGAGGAAAAGAGTTCACTATTCAAGCAGAGTGAGTGAAAAAAGGCCTCCCTGGTGATGACATGTGAAGAGAGGGGAGGGATCTGGCCACAGCATGTGCAAAGGCCCCGAGGCAATGGCCGGCTTAGTGTCCTGCAGGAACCTTACAGAGGCTAAAGTGAAGCATCTAGGAGAAAAAGTTAGAGATGGTAGCAGGAAGGCCGGTCATACAAAGTCTTGTAGGTAACACTATCTTTTACCCTTGAGATGAGGTATCTTCAAAAAGTTTTGCACAGAGGAGATTGTGATCTGACGTCTCTTTAAAAACAACCCCTCAAGATGATGTGCTGAACACAGACAGAGGGGTGGGGAAAGATGGACCAGTTGGGAGGCTATGGTTGTAATTTAAGGTAAAGATAAGTACTTGCTTCAGCAGCACATATACTAAGGTAAAGATAATCATGATCCAGACCAAGGTGGTTTAACAGTGAAGCTGGTGAAAAGTAGTCATGTTTGAGACAAACTTTTAAGGTAAAATCAACAGGCTATGCTAAGGGGTGGGAGGTGTTAGCATGAGACAGAGAAGAGTTAAGGACAACTCCAAGGTTTCTAACCTGAACGACTAGAACAGAATGGTCCTTACTGATATGGAAAACACCAAGGTTTGGGAGTAAAAATCAATTTTATTTTGGCCATGATAGGTTTGAGCTGCCTGATAGAAATCATTCTAGAGATCGCTGTAGATCTATCTATATAACCAAGTACATCTACAGATATGTAGACATATGAATCTGGAGTTAGGGGGACAAGTAAGGGCTAAAGACATGAAACAGGAAGTAATGTACAGATATACTTAGATTCATGGAGAGGAAGTCGACAGAAAAGAGACGAGGCCTGAGAATGGCGGCACTCCAACACTGAGAAGTCGGAGTAGTGAAGAGGAACAACCAAAATGGACTAAAGATGAATGGCCACTGTGGTCACAACAGATGTATTGTGAAGATGCCACAGGCCGCAGCAGGTAACCTGGCCTGTGTGGAGAAAGAGTCAATTCAGCAAAGTCAATGTAGGAAGCCATTAACCCGTAATGCAGTCCAACAGGGCTGAAACCTGAGACAGTGTCCCCCATGGGAGAGTACAAAAATGCCCACAGGAATGGCAAGGCCAGCTTTCCTAACAGTAACACACATCTCAGGGAGAAATCTGAACCAGCTGCCTTGCCTACTGCTTTGGATACACGCAACCCTAAGATTCCTATCCTTCGCAATGTGTAGCAAATGCCAACCCCTCTAACTGGATCTCTTTTTCAGTCGTATTCCTATAACACTGCGACAGCTGTGCAGAAACTACTGCCGTGGTCCAGGTGATGGAAGAAGATCTGGGTGATGAAGATGAGGTGGCTATTCCAGCAGTAACGTGGTCAAAACTTGTGAATGGTCTAGGCCTGAGGGAAGTGAATAAGCAAAGATGACTCCTAGGCTTCTGACTTGCCACACTGGATGGGTGATGGTGCCCTTCAATTATTCAAGGAATACTGGAAGAGGACCCAAATTTCAAGTTCAGCCTTGGATACATGGAGATGATGAACAGGCAGCTGGCACTGAAGCTTAGAAACGAGATGGGATTGAAGAAATCCACTCAGAAGTCTGCCTATGGCGTGAAACTAATGTTATATTTATAAAGAATACCTACAAAAAACTCGAGTAAGAAGAGGAAATGCCTAGGAGCGAGCTTCATGCATCCTGGAATATTCACCAGCTCTACAGAATAGAATGAGCCTGCAAAGGAGGCTGAGAAAGAGTAACTCAAGAGCCGAGAGGAAAACCAGGAATGTGAAGCATCACAGAAGCCCAGGGGAGACAGTGGTTCAAGGAGGGAGGGAGCACCTGCGTCAGTGAGACATTAATGAGACGCAGTATCTTTTAAAATCTGCATTTCACTGATTTTAGATCATCTTTGTTTTGCCAGCAGATCTGTTGGTCCTGCTGATTGCTACCAAAGCATTCTGTGAATACAGCTCAAAAACCCCTCCATATCAGAATTTTGTCATTTGTTAACATCTTTCTAGTAAGTTATCCAAAAATTCTCTAATTTCAAGAGAGCAAGGCCGATGATAAACATATTTTGGATCAAATTAGTTATGGCACTGAAGTCACTTTGGAAAGAAAACAAAACTGGAGTCTCCAGCATAGTCATGCTTTTACCCTTATCCAAACTTGGGCAGGGCTCATGCCTTTCTGAGTCCTGGTTTCATTATCTGTTCGATGTTGGGGGAGGGGTTGGGACATGTGTGCAGTGCCAAGAAGGGAAGCAGTACATCTGTCGATCCATACTTTCCACCTCCACGAAATTCTGGAGCTCACAGTTAATCTGTGGGAATACAGGGGTAAATGTGTATATCTAAGTCACATATTTTCAGCAGTGGCCTCTATATGGCCATAAAATGAATGACTACTTCAAGCCATTTGCTTTAGTCTGGCCATTTCTCAGACCAACCAGATAGTCTGACAGCTATGAAGTCTATTCCCTAATGGCAGATACAGAACCGAGCATTTATTGATTCCTGGATGCAGAGAAAGATACTAGATACTAGTTTATTTCTGGTAAATGCTCATATGCTCTTAAGAATTTAATATTAATTCAAAAGGAATTTCTTGTCAATCCAAAAGCAATTAATTGTAAATGGTCATCAAACTGCTAATTTTAAACTAAATTTAAAAATAAGAGTACTCCTGATTTCCCACAAAATGATACATGGGGCTTAGTAGAAACATAATAAATATTCATTCAATGAATGAATGAAAGAACTGTATTTTGTTAAGTTTAGAAATTCTGCTGAAAAATTACATCTAAACATAGTCAAATAATCTTATTCTCCCTAAATTCAATATCTGTGTCTCTCACATAAACTATTTCCAGGGTTCAGAGTTACAAAGATAAGATCAAGTTCTATTCAAAGCAAAACATGCACAGAACTTGTAGAGATGCAAAGTATGAAAGACTTATTATTTACCTCAAGCACAATGAAGAATGTCTGTACTCACAAGATGTCTTATGGTGTCTATTATTTTCTTTGCCCAATAAAGTACTTGCTTTCTCAATGCCCAGTCCTAGAGGGACTTCTCAAAGGTTATTCCTTGTGCTGGGAGATCATCATCACTGACTTCCAGATAGGTTTTGTTCTCCATTCCAGTTTTATTATTGATTGGTTTCACAGAGTAAAAACCGTACGCAGTAAATAAAAAAACTCGATAAAGTTTTATAAAATGAAACAAAAGTGAGAGGAATGGGAACCATTTCACTTTGTTCATAAATCAAACCTTTTCTCTCTATGTCCCTTTCAACTCCACACGGTGCAGCCAAACTAGGCTTCTGATCTTTCATGCTGTGCCCTTGTTTCAGCAGTCCAGATGCGCATAATATCTTTGCATAGAAATTTCTTCCCATTAATTCCCAGTGGCCAAATCCTACTCATCCTTAAAGGCTCAAACATCATAATAACCATGAAGCCTTCTAGAAACTCCACAGCTAAAAGAAATCTTACTTTTCCTAAACAGCACACTTTCTCTGTATAATATTTAACATAGTTCTCCCTTATATTTATAGATACTTATTTATACTTTTAATAGTATACATATATGTGTATACACACACACCTTAAACTATACATACAGATATATACATATACACACACACATATACATATATGTGTATATACAGAAAGAGAATTTGTAATTGTTAACTTGCATTTTTAATTTCTTCTAGTAGTTTTTAAACTTCTTATGGACAAACTAGGCATCAAGTAATATTTGCTCCCCCCATGAAGCCTAACTCAGTGTCTTGCACTGAGTAGACAATCACTAAATAAAGGAGTATAAAATTATCCCTCATTATATATTGTTTCTGCATACAATTTACATAATGAAACAAAACTATATGATATGCTAAAGTCACCAAGAACTAAGTCACCAATTACATAAGTATATATCTGGTTCTTCGAATCTTCACTTTCTATTACATAGCAAACTTGTTGGAGGAAATGGTTTTACACAAACTCACAGTTAAGTGTCCTTCATGATGATCTGGAAAATGAATGAATAAGTACTCTGTGGCTACCAGCTGCATTATGGAGTCACCAAGGAATTCCATCCTCTGATTGTGGCCTCTGGAGGAAAAGAAAACATCGACGTAAAGAGATCAATAAGCATCTGTAGATTCAAAAAAATAAAAAATAAAATTTTAAGGTATGACTTTAAAAAGCAATGTGTTCATCTTGCTTAAAGAACAGAACCAAATACAACTCCCCAAAGCCCCTCAACTGAGAAGAGATCTGAGTCAATATAGGTTCAGTTTCAAAGGAGAGTAAAGTGAGTACTATCTAAGGATTAAACAACTGCTGAAAGAAAGACTGGCAAATAGTACTTGGGCAGTAGCTGAGGAGAATCAATAGAAAAATAAAATACAGCTGAATCCTTGAACAACCTGGGGGTTAGGGGCAGCGACCCCCCAGGCAGTCAAAAATCCAGTTTAACTTTACAGTCAGCCCTCTGTACCATGGTTTGCACCTGCAGATTCAACCAAATGACATCATGCAGCACCGTAGCACGTACTTACTGAAAAATATCCACGTGTAAGTGGACCCAGGTGGTTCAAACCTACGTGATTTAAGGGCCGACTGTATAGTACAGACAACAACGTTGCACAATCTTTACACAGACAAAATACAGCAAAAAGATCCAAGAATTTTCTATGCTAAATCTTTACCCTTTCATTGAAAAATATACTCCAGTTTTCAAATCTGAATTCAAGAAGAGGACTAAAAAAATCTATGACAAGAGTCTTTGGCGTTTACAGTGTAAAGACAACTGTGAATATCTAATTTGGGGGAAGAAAACCTGAGGAGCGTGTGTTGGTTGCTCAGTCATGTCCTACTCTTTGTGACCCTATGGACTGTAGCCCTCCAGGTTCCTCTGTCTACAGGATTCTCTAGGCAAGAATACTGGAGTGGACTGTCGGGGGAAGAAGCCCAAAAACTGAATTAAAGAAACATGTAAAAAAAAACACACAAAAAATAGTTGTGGTTATTTTATCATTATTTCATTAGGTCATGTTCAAATCACTCACAGCAAGGACTGGAGGGCCAAATTCACCCGATGGCCTGTTTCAGTAAATCAGGTTTAATTGGGACACAGCATGTTCATTCATTTATACTTTTCCTGTGGCTGCTTTTATGTTACTTTTGTGTTACTGATGCTACTTATGTTGCTTTTATAACCGAGTTGAATCATCATGACTATGACCACCTGGCCTGTCTCTTCATAGGAAAAATTTTTACTTCCTTCATACTTATAATTCATAAAGAAATAAGATTCATGACAATGAGACCAAAAATACTGGATTAGAGCATATGCCCTGGTCTACACCAGTGTATGGCTGCTCATCCATCTGACGATGTGACTTCCCTGAAAATATGTTTGAAACCCCAATTACTTGAAAGGGCACACAGCAAAGGTTTGGGGCTGTGTGTCCAAATGGTCATGTTAGAACTACAAGAGTATTTCTAACTCACAGGGTCAGATGGTTAAATCCCACAGTTCTCAATGTGAATGCTCTTGCCAAAAGTCGAACATGCGTAAAAATTACTCCAATTGCGTCTTCAAATTCAGTAAGTTTCTGTAGAACTGGAGAAGTCTCAATAAGTTGTCGATCAGTATTTGGCTCTTGAAGCTACAAGAAGGAATAATAAATATCACAGGCAGTTTTTGGTTACAAATGTAATTATCAATTCTAAGTGTTTTGTAAACTTCTTGTTCCCACAGGCAGAAATTTCTGAAATGCCAATAAAACATAAAAGCTTCTTTCTCATCCCTTAGAATGGCAAACAAACCTAATATTTAAAGAAGGCTCAAATAATATTTTCCAACCTTCTATCAGATTTCAAGGCCAAATACTATACACAGATAGTTCAAAATCCTAAGTATTATACTAGCTCTCCAAGGAAGAAACAAGCTGAAGAACCCCTCCTAGGGAATATATCTATCTATCCATCCATCCGGTAACTCAGCACTTCTCAAACTCTTGCAGTACTTGTTAAAAGCAGATGGCAAGGCCCTGCACCCAGAGTTTCTCACTCAGTATGACTGGAATAAGGACCAGGACCTGCCTTTCTGGTAAGTTCCCAGGTAACACAGATGCTGCAGGTATGGGGATCAGCTTTTGAGAATCACTGTGTTGAATAACTTGACCGCTGTGTATCTTCAAGGGGCTAACCTATTTTGGCAAATGATCATCATTAAACTGGATTCAGCTTACATTGGAGATTATTATAATACCACTAGGCGGGTGCTCCACGTAACAATGAGCCTTTAACCACTAGCAGAGAGCAAGTATAAAACATTTGAAATGAATATTTTTAGGAACTTTGGGCTAGTTCATATTCATAAAATACTTCTAAAATACTCTGAATTAATGTCACTTGTTACTATGAAGCCTCTCATAAAAGAGTTCAGCCACTACTGATGATTATTATATATATGTAATATATATATACAAAAATGTATCTGTATGAGTATATATTTACATGTATATATTTATATATGTCTCCAAGGTAAAATGGTAATAAAACAAAGAATAGTGAGAATTTTTAAAACAACTAGGGGAAACAGTGTTACCATATATAGATCTTCTAAATTCCAAAATCTTGAATAAAGTCATTATACTCTACTAAAATTTTAATTTACAATGTTTCATGCAATTGAAGTCAAATCTCTGAATTTCTAAGATACAAATTAGGTTACAATTTAGCAATGTTAATTTAGTATTTGTTCTACTTTGTAATGAGCCCAGACCTGCTTCCATATTATTTTCCCTATAATAGCAGGCATGAAGACAAACTGGAGACAACACACTACGTCTTGAGTATCACTATTCTGGGGAAGAGAGGGGACCAAACCGCAGCCACACAAGTAGCTCTTCCTGCCTTTCGAGCGATGGCAACTCCCAGAGCTTCGCCCACCTCACCCCAGACCACAAAAACACAATGCATGGCCTCGTTTTAGTATTTGTTCCAAAGTTCTCCACTCTGATACCCTAGCTTAAAGTCATAATGCCACTGAAGGGAATCAAAGGATAAAAGCAGAAGGGGACAAAAGGCAAAGTGAAGCATCGTGAGTACCTGGAGTTACAAAGCTCACTGCAGACAGGAAGGTCACACTTACCTGGAGTGGGTGGAGAGGATAATTGAGCCAGACTTCGCGCAGGTCCTGGAAAATGGAGTGATGCCTTTAATGCTCGAGGGAGTCATTTAACACACTCTAGAGTACTAAATAAAATGCCATTATGTGAAATACTGAACTATTTCAGATGCTGACTCCATTTATTGCAAATTCGATAGTGCTGGCAAATGAATTTTTTAAAAGTGTTTTCACCACTCCAACTGCCTGTAGTGACTCTAATTAGCCGATTAAGCTGGGGAGGAAAAGAGCCACCCCCGCCCCCAGGAGTCAACGACATCTTTTAAAACTAAGTTACACATTCGCTTAACCTAATACAGTGGATTAAGCTGCTGTTTTAATTATATTTTTCAGTATACCATTCCCCAGAAATGTTCATTGGCTTTAAAACTCATCTCAAATGGTCCTTTACTTGGGCACTAATTTATTATCATTGGGTAACTTTAATATGGGAGTGGAAAACACTCCATATCTAGTTTCTAAACTCTTAGATTTGTGAGACCACACTTTTACTGCGGGTCACTACAAATGTATACTTGAAATAAGAGAATAAATAAAAGGATTAATTTTGTAGAAAATCCTAATATGCTATTTTATCCACTGAGTTAAATCCAGAGGCATTCATAATAGACCTTCCTAAAGATTACAGTGTTTTTCCTTCCGTTTTAGACTCTAGGGAGCCTCTGACTGAATCTCCTTTTGGGCCTTGATGATTGGTTTTTGAGATAAATGACAAAATTTTTAGAAGGAAAAAAATTTTTTTTTTAATTTTTGCAGAGGAAAAGTATAGTAAAATGTTTTATGATGTGATACAGATGATGACAAAGGGAAATAAAAATACCTGATAATTTTGTACATCTTGCATATTAAAATACATCTAGGTTTTGTTTTTGGTATTTTATTTTTGCCAATTTTTTTTTAAGTTTAAATATCACACTGTTCTTTTAAAGCTTTTTAAAGAACTTCTCTTAACCAATTCAATAACCTTTCCCTGGAATTCTCTGTAGCATAAATTGCACTGAATGTCACTCCCTTCCTGCGACTTTCTCAAATTCTCTCACTGCTTTTTCTCCCCCTGCTATACCTGAAACCGACATGCACTCAACTTCCACCAAGAGCCTGACCTACCCACTACCTGTTCCTCTGGAGTGCCCGCCGCCCCCACTGCTTTAGCTGCTGCCTATTCAAATCATTTGCTCACCTCTGCTGCAGTTCTGACCTCTCATCCAAGCTGCACATCCATAACTCTAAGAGCCTTAAGTGGCGTCTTTTACCTCATATCCAAATGACCAAATCATCACTTTTTACCTTCAACTAGTGATGACGGTCAGAAAAAGCAATGGCAACCCACTCCAGTACTCTTGCCTGGAAAATCCCATGGACGGAGGAGCCTGGTGGGCTGCAGTCCATGGGGTCGTGCAGAGTCGGACACAACTGAGCGACTTCACTTTCACTTTTCACTTTCATGCATTGGAGAAGGAAATGGCAACCCACTCTAGTGTTGGCCTGGAGAATCCCAGGGATGTCGGAGCCTGGTAGGCTGCTGTCTATGGGGTCGCACACAGTCAGACACAACTGAAGTGACTTAGCAGGGATGCTGGTGTTAGGAAAAGCTGTAGGCTGAGGAGACAGGCTGCCTGATTCAACCCTGATTCCCTGTTGGCCAGTTTCTTCACCTCACTTAAGCCAACCTTTCCTCAAGCTTTTGACAAAGATAATCACGGTACCTACTTCAGAGTGTTCTCTGATGCCTCGATGGGCAATGGACTCAAAGCACTGAACCCAGTGCGGCACACAGGAAATGCCAATATTAACAACAAGGACATCAACAATGATGATAAACAAGTATCTCTTCGGACCAATTTCAATCTCCAAAGCACAAGATTCTCAAGGACTTCGAGATTCATCTTTCTCCTTTCTCCTACGTCTTTTTCACTCAGAAACACCGATTCTTCCTTTGATGTCTGCTGCCACCCATCTTGATGTAACAGCTTTAAAACCTCACAACTAGCCGGTTTCAATGGCATCCATTTCCCTGATTGCACCCTGCACTGAGATACAGCTCTGCTGCACGCTGGTGTCAGAGAAATGGAACAGACCTTGCTAGGTTCCCAGCTCTGCTTTCTGTTAGCCTAGGGACCTCGGAGAAAGCCTCTACCTTCAGTTTGCTCTTCTGGAAAATGTTCATCGATTGCTGGGACATTAGTTCATGCAGCATATTTTTGTGGAACATCTGTTAGGTATCAGCTAAGTAAGACATTGAATAAGACACTAGCTCTGTGCTCAAAGGAGCCTATTGGGGAAGAATAAGAATAAATGAGTACAATTTAATAAACTATGACAAGTTCTATAATGGTGATGTATACCGTCCAAGTGATGAGAAGACTCTGTCTGGGTTGTCAGATCAAGTTTCCAAGAGGAGGGGACTCGTCAGCTAAATTCTGAAGAACATGAGGAATTCCGTACAGCAGAGGGAAATGATCAAAAGCAGGACATGGCACATACTCAAATAAAAGGTCCCAAAGTGCACACACACAAAAGCGTAGTTCTTCATAAGCAGAACACCGAGAATTTTAGGGCATCAAGAAACATGACACCGTAATGATGGCTATCTGTCATTTATATATATATATATATGTATGTCTGAACCCACAGCATGTACAAAACCAAGAGTAAACTCATGTAAACTATGGACTTGGGGTGATTATGATGTGTCAATGTAGATTCATCTATTGTACCAAATGTATCATTCTGGTTGGGGCTATTGATAGTGGAGGAGGCTGGGCATGTGTGGGGGCAGGGAATATATGGGAAATTTCAGGACCTTCCTCTCAAATTTTTCCATTAATCTAAAAAAACTTTTTTTAAAGTGATTTCTAGAATGGCACAAAGAGGGAGTGGAAATAAAGGAGACTAAAAAAGTAGGTGGGAGTCAGATTATGGGAACTATGAAACACTCTGTTGTGTAATACAGGCTTTGGCAGGCAATAAAGAAACCAAAGATTTTAAGCCACAAAGACCATAATCGAATCGGTGCATGAAAAAGAAGACAACACTGCATGAATGATGGACTAGAGCAGTGGGGAACAACAGCTTAATTATTTCAGGTGAGAGATGACGAGAACAAATGTTGAAGCAGCAGGATGGCTGAGACCAGGGGCCGAACTGCCAGGGGTCTGTGACTGAATGAAGATGGGGACAAAAAGCTTAAGGACAAAAGAAGATCCTGAGGTTTCCAGTTTACATCATAAACTGAGGGAAGGAGAAGTGTGTTTGGGGGCTTAGGTGACGAATTCAAACACTAAACCTGTTGCAATGAGGTGTCTGCGGAACACCCATGTGAAGCTGCCCGAAGCCAATCTGAAAAGACACTTTTTCCAGTTTCAGGAGCTCTGGAGAAAGGCCAGGCAGGGTCAGAGAAACTGGGACCCATGTGCAAAGACCAAAGGGGGTGGGTGAGGGGCAGTGGAAGACTAAGTTTATATAGGAAAGTTTATATACGAATCGCTGTCTTTCTAAGAGGGCCATTGGATAGCTGAATGGAAACAACGGTTCTGAATGTACCAAGTAAGCTGGGTCACGCAGACCTGAAAACAGAACTGGCAGAATCCGCCTGGGGCTGAAAGAGTAAAAAGCAGTCCAGGCTGATAAAGAAAGACAACTCAGAGAAAGCCAGCTTCCAAATCAACAGGACACGGTGTTTCCTCAAGGTCTTACAGAATCGGGAAAACAGTGGACAACCCTCTCTCGGAGGGAGGACCTCTTTCCCACCAGGGTTGCCCTCTGACCTGCTTTGCTTTGCTGTGTCTGAGCCCTGTTCAATTTCACAAAAGAAAATATACACGAAAACTAAGCTGAATGTCAGATGTCCCACTGGTAAGATAAGGTTCAGACTCTGCTTTTTCATTTGGTCATTTATTCAATTCATTCCTTTAACAAATATTTATTAAACACTGCAGATGCCAGCACTGAACCTGGTACTAGAAATGTAAGATAAGCCTGCTAAGTAGACAAGTGGGAGAGAAGTGGTTTAAAGAGAGAAAAGAATCTAAACAAACTGAGGCTATTAAGAACACCGGGTGAAAGCTGCGTATACATCAGGAAGGAACGCAGAGTGGATGGGGATAGAGGCAGGAATAGCTGGAGGTGGGACAGGTTGACGGGAGGAGGGGCTCACAGAGACAAGACTGGAAGAGGAAATAAGGTAAGGAGGTTGCTGAAATCGCCCACAAAAGATAAAAGGCCGGAACAAAGTTATTTTAAGATTTGAGAAAAAGACTTAAAATACATCTGTTACATGTATAAATCAAGATACAGACTTGTTTATAGGTTGTAGGACAAAATGGGGGACATGGAACACCTGTGGATACTGTTCCCATCAGGAGGAAATTCACACACATAAAATCACCACCTATCTCTATAAAAACAGGTAGAAGAAAATCAAATCCTCGGGTATGAACATCATCCAGGTCCCATTTTTCAAAACTATTGATTCTTTTTTTTTTTTTTTTTAACTATCCCAAGGAATACAGTAATAACATCTGACAGCCACTTAAGTTGAAGGTTTCACAAAGACTTAAAACACTGGCTTGCCATGTTCTTTATTGCTCCGTGAGGGCTATTTCATTCAATTATAATGACATTTCAATTTGGAATACAGAGTTGCCTCTCCCTTTAAATGTTAAATTGACTTGTTTTGGTAGAAAAAGAATCTAGTATGCTCTATTACATGCAGGATTAAAAAGGTAGCCCTGGCAATATTAATAGCTTAATACTTTAGTAACAACAGAAACTATTTTAGAATCTATCATTTTTTCTTAAACTATAATTTGCTTTTAAAAAAAACTACTTCCATACTCTTTATTCATAGCTCTATCAGAAACTCCCTATGAACTGACTTTCTAAAATAAATATACATTTATCTAGTCTACATAATTTACATAAAAACAAATCATAAACAGAAAAGTCAAAAGACTATAGCTTCAACTAAGCCTGCATGGGGTAGGTACCCAATGATTACAAAATATAAAATCATAATTAATTTCAAAACATTTTAAAATAAAGCAAGGTCCTACCATATCTGTATTCATATTTAACTTACAAGTGACCATGAGAAAAGATGGGGTTTTGGGTAGAGGATAAAGTCCTAGTATAAATGTCCACAGATCTTAACCATCTGTGACAGAGTTGAATAAGCTATTTTTGAAGTGCTTGAAATCTTACCATCTAGGGTAGATTTGGGGTTTTTGTTTCTCTTACATGCTTTTTAAAATACAAAGACTAATTGATATAAAATCCTCTATAATGATATGTAACTGAGAAAAATCAAATGAGTCGAAATAAATACCGGATCATTAAAGAGTAAGCGTCCAAATAACTGCTTGGCTTCCTCCAGGCTTCCCTCCAAGTAAACAGCTCCTAGATAAAAGAAGAGAACGCCGAAAGGAAGGCTGCATTAATATTCAGAGAAAATTACATATCTCTATAAAAAGCAAAAAGGCAAGCCAAAACCCACTCATGGAAAAAATCGACCAGATCAGAAGCAATTGTTTTAAAGGTAGCATTTTCCCTCTTTTAACTATGCTTTGTGTTATAAGTTAGATTGAAATACAAAATTCAATTTACCAAAATATAAACCTAATTTTGTAAGAAAAACAGGCCAACTATGATCTATCATAAAGGATATGGGTATGAACCATTACTGAGGGAACTATATACAAACACTTGACTTTATGAAAATATTGTTTTATTTTCTATATTTATAGTTTATATTTCAGGCCACAGACAAAATATGAGTACAGATAAATTAAGGCTTCTGCCAATAAAAAAGTAGGATAACCTTTACCTTTAATTAAAAATAATTCTTAAAAATTTTTTGAAATAATTAAGCACTGTACACATATTTACCACTAATCATAACCACTAAGTACTATAGTAACATTTTAACTGGGAATCAAATAACTCTGGAGTAGGGTGGTTCTTAAAATCATATTTTTTACACCTGTCTTCAGAAAGGCTATTTTCCATGTAAAATAGAATCTTAGTCACTGGGCTTTTGATGACTAAATGCATTTATTATTTATCAACAGAGGTAGTAATAATGATAATAATTATAACAGTGATGATGATGATGATATTAGTAATAGCAGGGGTTTGAGGGACCACTTATGCCCTAGGCCCTATGCAAAGCATTTTCACATTCTTATCTTCACCTTTAAGGCACCTCAGTAAGAGGATATTAGAAAAGATTTATAGGTTTGGGGTCCACAGTAGGTGATCTGGGGGAGGGGTAAAGGAAATGGAACTCTGCCCTGGATTTGCTGCAGTTAGGATCAGATATTAAGGTTCTTACAACTCTGTGAGGTAAGTAATACTATCTCCATGTCATAGATGGGGAAACTGGGGTTCAAAGAGACTCAGTAACCTGGCAAAGACACAGAACTGATAAATGATGCAAGAGGGAACTGAACCGTGTGTGCCTGGCTATGGAGCTAACTGTAACATTAACTGTCAAAAATATTATGTGAAAAAAAAATTACGTGTACAGAGTAGTCATTCCACATGACAAACCCTCTGAAAATAGACATATTTGTACAAAACAGACATAGCTGTGAAAAGACTGTGGATAGTTATTAAATATTCTCTTGCTACCACCATCAGCATAAAACTATAATGGGAAGCTTTTATACTCATTTTCAAAGGAAGAGGGCAAAATTGATAAGGAAGTACAGACGCCTTTGAAAAATAAAATGTACTAAATCATCTACCTAAAAAAATCAAGGAATTGTCAATCTACTGTAACATTTCATTGTAAAGCATACTTGCAATCACCAGCTAATTAACTCTTCATAACTTTCCTGTACAAACAGCTAATTATATTCTGGTTATAGTAAAAAAGAAACTGAGGAAGTAAAGAGCCTGAGTGTCTGTATTAGCCGTGCTTCAAGTGAATAAACAGTAGTTGTAGAGGCTCAAGCCCTGGGATTTTTAAATATGCAGTGTCTTCAAGATGTTTAAAGCAGAAAATCCTGTAAAATAGCTTTACATTTTATTAAAAAAAAAAATATTAGGGTCTAACCAGCAACTTATTTATGTATGTGATCCTGAATCAAATCTGGCAAGTAATCCATCCTCATATTAACTCACTTCAATTCAGTTCAGTATATACTAAGCATGTACATGACATGATACAAGAAATTCAAGAAAAGAAAGCACGACTGCTGCTCTGGAAGAACCACAATAACTACAGTACAAGGAGGCGGGTATCATACTGGGGACCTCATATGCTTTGGGAACAAGTAATTTTGTCCCAAGGCTTCACACTGAATTTTATGTGCTCTCCAGACATTTCAGACATGCACAAAACCAGACTATAAAAGAGAAATTACCTATTAATGCTTCAAAACAATTAGCCATTGCATGCCGAAGGTCTGATTCTCTACAAAGGTCAGGTCCATGAGCATAAAGCATAAACCGATCCAGTTCAAGTTTCTACAAAATTCAGAATGACAAAAATTAGAGAATATCGGCAAAATCATAACCGTTATAACTCAGCATCTCCTAGGGGGTACAGTTACAAATTAACTGGCCTTAGGCGAAAGTTTAATCTACCATTCTTTACAAGACCATACATACGGTTCAGTGCTGACCAACTTCGCCTTTTCCCCAAGCAAGCTTCTATGAACTCTGATGATTCAAGTAGGTTCAGAATGGACCAGATCTGATCTGTCCAACTCCAGGTTCAGAAAAAGCACTAGCCTCAGTTTGGAATAAGACTCTATTACAAGGCCATGCCTTTGCATTTACCCAATATGTCTAGAGATACAAACTCAACCCAAAGTTAACCTCTTGGATTCCAAAGTTATATGGTACTGATGGTCTCTGTACTGTATGAAAAATCAAGAGATTTTTATGTGGTGGAGTAGATGGGGACTCTCAGAAGACTTAAAAATGCCTTATTTCTATAAATCTTTTTTTTTTCTTATTTAATAAGGATTTGGATTTGGGGAGCCATATATTTTTGTACTTGTGTCCCTTTGTGAGGTTTCCACACTCATCCTGAAGGCTCAGTGAGAATCTGAGCAACGGGTTGGAACTACCTTAAGGGCTCTGGGAATATTGTTTGTAATGAATTATATATTCTTTTTCTATTTGGCCTCAGACAAGTTTAGAGACAGATTTATGGCCTAATTCTGGAAATTTTATAGGACTGATGAACATATCTGGGCACAATAACTTTACCTCTGGCTTTATTTTACTGTCTTACCCATATTTTCTCTTTGTTCTGAGTTTAGTCCCTACTTGTTTCTTTTCCTATTGTATCATAAAGGACAAATCAAGTCCTTTTAGAACCAGACACAGTATAAATGCTTTTTACAAAACTCTTGAGATTGAATAAATGGAAATCATAATTCGTTCCATAAAAGGAAAAGGGTATAAACACTGCATAAACACACAATAAATCTGTTTCTATTACCATATAATTCGATTCATAACATGCCACATAATATGGAACAAATAATAAGTCAATGAACAACCTAGGACAACATGAATCTCATCAGCTCTCAGATAAGAGACTCAGATATGGTGTGTCTTAGTATGTGTGTTAAAAATAACCATATTCATTTACATTGAAGAAGAGACAAATAAAAACAGGGCATACATGCTATCTATTTTGGATTGCTAGGAATTCATGAGTGTATTATAAACTCAAAGGAGAGTTTTGACTACCACAAATACAAGAGCAGAAAGCACCTTTTTTCAAAAACTGATCCCCAAGTGCAAGAGTTTATACTAGAATATGGAAATTTCACTTGTTTCACAACTTCACTGGGAATTGCTTGCTATCTCTGGAGCCCTGCTTTGAGAGTAGACTGCAAGCCATTTCTGTAACATAAACAACTATTCCGGAATGTTATGAATTTTCTCACTTCTCATAATCTCTATATCCTTAGTTTTTCATGAAGGCATTAATGGAACTGTTAAAAAGGAGAGTGATATTCCACTGTGCATGTGTTAAAATGTTCACTGTCTAGAGTGCTGACCTAGAGCTTTTATTACCTTCTCAGAGTCAGCACTCTTCCTTCATCAAGTCTCTCCTCTCAAATGGTTAAGAACCACTGGTCTAAAGAGAAGGGCAAGGTTTACCACTGCCTTCTGCTGGAGCAGATGGGTGTCGAGTGCTATGGGTGTGTCAGGGTTTGCGGTGGAGCAGGATTACATAGACATCCCTGAAGGGAAGAAATGGCCAGTGGCCACCCCTGTTGTAACTCATGGCTCTATACAGCACCCACTATGTCATGGAATAGCTTCCATTTTCATTTTCCACATGTTGAAAATATCCTCCCTACAATTGTTTGAAAAATAATCATGCAATTCCATTATACCTGAAACTAAAGAAAACAATGGCAGGGAGAGGTGGAGGAGAGTGTGCCAACAATCTACTTATGAAAGGTATTTCCAACAGACATTTACGTGAGCTATCAGGAAGCATCTTGACAATTAAGTCAACTAAACATTGAAGCGCTTGTGGAATTTCATTCATTATGAGCCTAAAAACCAAGCTGGTTTTTCCTGAAGGCATCACTATTTATATTCTCAAATGCCACTGAAGCTGGATCAAAGCCTACCACCACAGTTACGATGAGGATGTTATATAAAATACAGCAGTACACTCTTGCTAACACAAAAACCATGGGATAAAATTAACCACATATTAAAAGTAATTAATGCCTTGGCAAGATCAAATTAAGAAGTCAGTTGTAAAACTAAAATGGATTTTATCTAGTCTTTTCTACCAAATTCCGACATTTACATCAAAAATGAAGAAAAAAATAGAAATTACTTAAAAATCAAGGAAAACTCACAAAAAGCTTTTACAACAGATCACTAATGTTTGGGAATTTAACAGCCACTGTTGCCCCTATTACTGAATAAACCCACAGGCCTATAAAATGTAATTGATTGATAAATGTAATTTATAAGTGGCAGCAGCAATAAAAACAACTAACTCCTACTAATTTATTCATATGTTTATGTGATGAATAGGCATTGCACCAAGCACTTCATAAACGAATCATTAAAACTCAAATGGTAATCTCCTTAAATTCTCACAACCACCCTATGTGGTAGATGCTAACAGATCTCCATTCTACAGATGAGAAAGCTATGGCTTGGCAAAGAGAATATCAATTTGTTCATGGTCCCCCTGCTGGTATCCTGAATTTCCAAACAAGCGCCAGGGTCCTATCCGTTAGGATTTATGATAACAAGACACTGCAGAGAGACAGGAAGATCAAATGAGACAACATAAGCAACAAGCCTACCATGAATCTCAATCAAGGAAAGGTTCTGTCAGTCACTCGGCAAAGTCAATGTGGCTGGCTAAACAGCCTAAAAGCAAAATCTTAATTAATAGGACTTGTGATTTGGGGGGATTCTCAAAGATCTGTAAAGTATCCCCCATGGATACAAATGGCCTGGAGTATTCTATTCAAAGCTATAATTCTGTCTGTTAAAGTAAATTAAAAACAAATGTAATTCAGAAATATTACACAGAGGGAAAATATGAAATCTTTCATTTCTTTTGCTCTGTTCTCATGTTCCTTTTCCCCAAATGTTTAACTCTGTTCATGCACATCTGTCAATTTTTTCCTCTTCTGTTTCCAAGACACCTCACTGTGGAGTTTATTAGCTGTTGGTGAAACTCACTAAGGTAACAGAACTAATAAGGCTGAGTCCTTAAAACCCAAACAAACAAACAAGCAAAAATCCTTCCTCATCAATAAAATATTAAACCCTTAATACACCCTAAAGGGTTACTGATTCAAATGCAAAGCTATGCATGGACTGAGGAAGAGAACGTAGACTTCACCGCAAATGAAGTGCAGACACTTGTACCTTGGCTAGCATGGCAAGGTGCTGGTTCTGAACGATGGCGGTCCGATATGTTGCTAATCCCCCCTCTTCCAGACTGGGAAACAGATAGTACAAATGGACACTGCCAAAAAAAAAGCACATAGACAGCATGTATCACAATATTCTGTATGTGGTTCTGAGTCTAAAACAACAGACCTGACACATAACATCTGCACAGTGCCTACCAGCTGGGTTGAACTAAACTGAAGGGTCTCTGAAGGGCTAAACAGTAAGCACGGTGTATCTGAACGTGCTAAAACCCAAACACCATCCACTCATCTGTTCACACTGACTTCTGTAAAAAGAGCTCTCTGAAATACGATGACAATGAAGACCTGAACAATCATTCATCCTGCTGAGAGCAATCCTATCTAACACTTGAAAAGTGAGCCTGGAGACAGAGAGTTTTGCTTGGGTTGGGTTATAGGGCCCCTGAAGAGAGAGCTCTGAGCAGGGCAGCCAGGTGACACATTCGTCACAAGTATAGGTGGGGACAGGAACGGAACCAGGAGTGGCAAACAGAGCCAGGGCTGTGGATCAGGGAAGTACGGGAATTAGGAAGAAGGCTGATGGAAAACCAGGCGGGACCACAAGGGTAACTGCGCTCTCGTAACTCTCAAACTAGTTCTGAAGATCCACTGTTTGTTGGGGCAGCTAAGCTAGTTTGGTCCTTTTGTGTCCAGTGAGAACACACTGAGAAAACTGCTCCTTTGCCTCACTGTGTCCTTCGTGGGGAAAGAAATGATTGAAAGGGAATAAAAATAGCTTGAGACAGTTCCAAGAGCAACATGTGTTATCTCCCTTTAAGAGAGAAATTTTATGAGTATTGAAAAAGCAAAATGTACTTTCCTACCTCTACCTCCAAACTAAGGATCCAAAACATTTCTGCGGAGAAAACACACAAACAAACAGACACACATACACTAGACACACCCCATAAATAAAAATCTAGTTATTAAAATTCTCGTATGCTTTCCTTCCCTTGAGTTCAGAAAGAGTGAGAAAGGGATCAAAGACAAATCCCAGAAAATGAAATGACATTTTAAAATATCATCCCTTTCTTTACAAATTGAATATAAGCTCTGAAGCATCTAGACCAAGACAAGCTGATCTCTCGCGGCTGTAGCAACTTGAACATAAACTTGACAGGACAGAGACGCTAGCCTTTCATCTTGTAATCCTGCTCATTACGGCATCAGTGAGTGCAAGTTATCAGGGCAAGAGGCACAGACATGGAGCTTTTAAGCTCTACAGAAGAAACCAAAACCACTGTGTTTCAAGGCTTTATTGGGCTAATTACAAAGAAGGTAATGTATTAAGTATGTTGCCTGTAAAATGCAATTATTGGGGAACAGCAGAAAAGCCTACTTACCTGGTCAGAAATTCAACAACAGCATCACCCAGGAACTCCAACCGTTCGTTGTGATTAATCCTACAGGAGAATTAAAAGGATCTCTTAAAATAGCCCACATTTACATTTCCTTCCTCTCTTCTCAAAAGAAAGGATGCTGAGGGTTAGCTCCTTTAGTAATCAAAGCACCCTAACTTACTCCTCATAATCAAGGGATCTGATGACCATCCCGCCAGGGGGGTGTCTAGTAGGGAAGGGAGGAGGGAGCACTGCCTCCTACTATGGGGTTCAGGCTCTCTACCCTGGTGCCTCCGTCCCCTGGGAATCAGACTTATCAGTCTAACAACTGTGAATCTTTCTACACTGCTATCAGGTGGACAAGAGAAGGGAGAATGCATTCTTAGAGAAAGAAAGTGGAAAATCAGCACTGGTACCATGTTCTAGCTTCGCATGGTCCAAACTCTGAATCTGACCTCATGTCTAAAGTCTTTTCAAATGGGCCTAACCTACCTTTTCAGTCTGCTATCCTCTTCCACCAATGCACTGGGTCCTTTTCCAAAACCGCCTGGTCCTCTCTGAAAAGTGCGTTTGTGCATGCTAAGTTGCTTCAGTTGTGCCTGACTCTTTCCAACCCTATGGACTGTAGCCCGCCAGGCTCCCTTGTCCATGGGATTCTCCAGGCAAGAATACTGGAGTGGATTGCTGTGTCCTCCTCCAGGGAATCTTCCTGACCCAGGGATGAACTAGCATCTCTTAGGTCTCCTGCATTGGCAGGTGGGTTCTTCACCACTGCTATCCTCTCCCACCAATGCACTGGATCCTTTTCCAAAACTGCCTGGTCCTCTCTGAAGAGGGCATCCCCTGAAACACTCAGCACCTCTGTGCAGGCCAAGCTCTGTGCTGCCCTGGAGCTTTCAGGTCTCCCCTGGACAGCAAGACCCCCTGAAAACCGACTCATCCCTCGAGGTCTAGCAGAATGTGAGGTCCAGATGAAACCCCACCTGAATCCCTTATCAAAATGAGTACACTCCCTTGGTGCAGAGACTGCATTTTATTTATATCTCAATTATTTTGAGGAAGGTTCATCTTACAAGTTGAGTTTCTCATGTCTAGTACGAGGCTGAACCCAGCAGGAAGGTGGCTCATGGAAGCCTCCTTCCACCTGCGAGTCTCTCAGAGCAAGCAGGTCACCATCTCTCTGTTTATCAGAGATGGTGACCTGATCTAACTGAGGCTTTTAAAGGCCGCTCTGGCTGCCTTTAGCAGAGATCGAGTGCAGGAAAGACAAGCACTGAGGCGGATACTGCTGTGGTCCTGATGTGACATGATGGAGGCGCAGGCTGGAGAGGTGACTGAGGAGGGGCAGAGATGCCATCAGATTTGGGAAACATTAGAAAGACGGAGCAGAAAAGAGGTGCTGATAGTTGGGACTGGGAAGCTAACCAACGAGAAAAGGTTGAAGGGCAGTGCCAGACTCTGGCTCACGTGGCTGGGTGAAAAGTGCTGCCATTTACTGCAACGGGAAGACCAAGAGGGGGAACACGTTTGGGAAGAAGCAAGAGCTGCCTTGTAGATATGCTAACTTTGAAATGTGCATAAAATATCCAAATGGAGAGATCCAACAAAATGCTAGATATATTAACCTATTGTTCACAGGCAAGAACAAAGTTAGTAATAAATCTGGTGTGTGTGTGTGTGTGTGTGTGTGTGTGAGTCAGTCATTTCCAACTCTTTGCGACCCCATGGATGGTAGCCTGCCAGGCTCCTCTGTCCATGGAATTCTCCAGGCAAGAATACTATAAGAGTGGTCTACACGTCGATAGGATTTCAGATGCTGAAACTGGATGGCACTAGTTTGCAGAGAATGCAGCTAGGCAAGGGGTCCCAGGACTGAGCCTAGGAAAGGGTCATGGCTGTGGTCCAGCAGAAAGGAAGCCAGCATAGGGGAACTGGCAGGGTGGTGGGAGGAAGAGAAGGCCAGTGCTATCCTCTAGCCAAAGAGAAGAGCATGTTTCAATTAAAGAAACAGACTCAGCAAGATAAGAAGAGAGCACTGACTCATACCAGGGAGATGGCTGAAGCCACGGAAGGGCAAGCTCTGTGAAGTGGTGGAGACAAGCCAGACTGTGACTCGAGTAGGCTGGGAACTTGCGTGTTGTCTGAAGCCATGCAAAAGAAGATCCTAAAATAAGCTACTGCCTGAGAGATGATAGGAATTAAGAAAGAATACATTTTTTTAAAAGAGAGAAATTAACATTATCCTATTCTTTCCCACCAGCCAGTAAAATAAACATGCATTTTCTGTGGTAAAGACTATCATCTTCCCAACAGTTCAAAGTACAATACAGGAAAACCTAGTTAAGGTGGAAAACAAGAAACCCTGGCCAGGGTCCAGAGGGAAGATGAACTATACTTTGGACTGTCTTGTGCTTAACTGAAGAATAACAAGACAACCAGTCAAAAAATAATAGCTGCTTTGAGTCATATACTATTTTGAATTAAGTCATATTGGTATAAATTTTATTTAATTTCATTTATAAACTTTCAGGGAGACAGGAACTACATTGAGAATTTTAATAACCTTGAAGGCAGACCATTATTCAGTGTGTTAAAATACAAGGTCACAGTGCTAAACAAGTTTATTCAATAGTAAGTCTGCCATCCATTAAATAATTTGTCCCCTATCCAGCATATGTTTTTTTTGTATCCTCACCATGACTAAACTCTGGCAGTAGGCCACAAACGAAAATGGGGGTTAAATACCATTTTAGTTTATTATTATATCGCACAATTCCTAACCCAGTGGTTTATCTGGAAAAATGGACAGAGTGAGTTGCTGGTCCTTGCTGTCTACAGCGGCAAGTCTTTTGTTCCTTCTTCCATTGTTTATACTTCCTTTAATCACCCCTGTTTAAATACTAGCAAGCTCCAAGATGAGATGTTTACAGAGCAGTAAACACTCCATTTGCTTTTGAGAACTGAATCAACAGAGGCATTATGAAATTTAGATTAACTGTAGCACTTAGATAGCATATTTGGTCTGTGGAAATCAAAACACTTTATAAAACAGAACAATTTCCCTGTAATAGTAATTACCGTAAGGTGTCATCTACTCCATAGAAAACCATCTTGGGATGGGCCAAGTCCAAGGGTAACTGCTAGAGCGAAGGGACGAACAACATTTTCTTACCTTTGTATTCCAAGCCTCAAGGGGCAATTGGTAGGGCAGAGCTAGAATGGACCTTGCAGGTCAACTGAAACTTCCACCCAACCCATGAGTTTCCTTCTGTCCATTACATCTATTTGTGGCTCAGCTGCTAAAGAATCCGCCTGCCATGTGGGAGTCCTGGGTTCCTGGGTAGGCAAGATCCCCTAGAGAAGGAAAAGGCTACCCACTCCAGTACCCTGGCCTGCAGAATTCCAATGACTGTATAGACCATGGGGTCGCAAAAAGTCGGATACGACAGAGTGTCAGACATGACTGAGTGATTTTCACACTATGGAATTATAAAAAAATATTATAAGAGAGACTACAGGCATAACTCATTTGGGGCTTCCCTGATAGCTCAGTTGGTAAAGAATCCGCTTGCAATGCAGGAGATCCCAGTTCAATTCCTGGGTCGGGAAGATCCGCTGGAGAAGGGAAAGGCTACAAAATCCAATATTCTAGCCTGGAGAATTCCATGGACTGTACAGTCCATGGGGTTGCAAAGAATCAGACACGACTGAGTGACTTTCACTATTACATCTAACTGAACACTTGGGGAGAGAAGCCCTACTAGATCTCAGATCCAACTGGACCCATGGATCCCAGATTAAGCATCTATTCACATATATTCAATGCATTGTTACTATTTTTAATGACAGATACTTAATGTATAACTGATTGGAGAAGAAAATGGCAACCCACTCCAGTATTCTTGCCTGGAGAATCCCATGGACAGAGGAGCCTGGCAGCTATGGTCCACAGGGTTACAAGGAGTCGAACACGACTGGAGCAACTTAGCATGATTGGAAGGGTACTCTGCAACTACCATTTCCTTGCTGCTGTTGCTGCTAAGTCGCTTCAATCGTGTCCGACTCTGTGCAACCCCACAGACAGCAGCCCACCAGGCTCCGGCGTCCCTGGGATTCTCCAGGCAAGAACACTGGAGTGGGTTGCATTTCCTCCTCCAATGCATGAAAGTGAAAAGTGAAAGTGAAGTCGCTCAGTCATGTCTGCCTTTTAGCGACCCCATGGACTACAGCCTACCAGGCTCCTCCATCCATGGGATTTTCCAGGCAAGAGTACTGGAGTGGGGTGCCACTGCCTTCTCCTTGTAAATGCTAGCTGATCCCAAATCAGATTATGAGACTCACCAGCTGTTAAACTTCTGAAGGCTCTGACCATGACCTTTCCTAATGCTCATTTCCCTGTTTCTAGTCAACAAGTAAAAAACCTGGAATAAAAGTAATATCATGAATGGCCTTCTTTCCTTTAAGACTTATTTACTGAGGCCCTGCTTTTTGAAAGGCACTAATTGGAAAAGAAAAAGAATTTGAAAAAAAGAAAAGAGAGAGTAGGATCAAAGACCTTCCAAATACTCACAGTATTAAAAAAAAAGAAATCAAACTATGACACAAAATATTAATAATACCTGGGAGAACTGAAACTTGCACCATAAAAGAAATGCCAGCAGAATGTGAGCACGGCTACAATGACTGCCGGCATTTAGGAAAGGGAGAGGGTACGCTCGACTGCACAGGAAGTATTTCAGTCTTACTGGTGTGCAGAAGGCCACAGGGAAGACAGCGATGTGCCTGGAAGGGTGGCTTGGGTCAGCAGGTGCTGAGATTGTCAGGCGAGGAGGTTCAGACTTATTCAGCAGGCGATGCGATGTCACAAAAAGCCTTCAAGCAGTTTACAGCTACAAACTAGAATGGAAGCTCTAGAAATAGCAAGGTGACACCTGGAAAGGCTGTCTGGAGGGAGACCCGGCAGAAGATGGCACTAACTGCATGGCAGGATGGGCAGGGGGAAAGGAGGGGCTTTTGGTGGGGCTGGGGAAGAACTCCATCAAGTTCCCCAACCAGCCCTGTTCCTCCACCTGCAGTGCTGCACACGGATGCCCAAACAACCTACTAGCCTACTGGCTGTCTTGTTCCTTTCTCAACTCTAAAATTCTGAGCAGGCCTGCCTGGGAGGAAATGTAACCACTGATGCTTGAAACTGCATAGTGTCTGTTTCAAACATGTACAAATACTTCCAAGGAGCAGACTGCTGCGTCCCACTTTATAACAGCAAACTGAGAAACAAACAGGGGAGAGGGCATGTTGTTTCAAGGGAACTCAGTTACTCAAGTGCATGGTATATAACTAACCATAGTCCCTGAGCAACCCACCAGAGCTCTCCTCGGCCCCACAGCAGTCTGCTGTGGTTGCTGTGTTTTTGACCTTCACTGAAGCGCTAAGCAGAGTCTTCCTTATATTATGCATGTTTATGGAACTCTTACCCCACCCCAGGGAGTCACACCTCTTGGTGAGCGGGGACTATGTCTTAACTTGTTTTTGAAAAAAAGTGAAAACGTCAGTTGCACAGTCATGTCCAACTCTTTGTGACCCCATGGACTGTAGCACGCTAGACTCCTCTGTCCATGGAATTCTCTAGGCAAGAATACTGCAGTGGGTTGCTGTTCCCTTCTCTGAGGGATCTTCCTGGCCCAGGGATTGAACCCAGGTCTCCTACATTGCAGGCAGATTCTTTACCATCTGAACCACGACCACTAAGGGTATGGTCATGCTGAGGAAGTTGGTAGGTGGCAGGAAGAAAGGAAGAAGAAAGGCTTCCCTGACCGGGAACTGAACCTGGGCCTGGCAGTGATGGCGCCAAATCCTAACCGAAATACCTGTGAACTGCCTCAAACTCAAAGGGCACTGGACAAATGTCTGTTGGATTAAATCTGTCTGCGTTTCTTCAGTACAGCTCCCAGGGCCGAGCACAGCTGGGGCTACCACACAGCCACGGCCAAGCAGCCGCCGGACTGGCTGCCGAGGCAAGAAGGCTCTTTCTGAATAGAAAGTTGGGGTCAATTCTGTATCAGCAAAAAGATGGGACAGGAGGCAAGAGACTCTCAGCACAAGAGCCACAAAGGCCAGAACAGAAGTCAAAGGACAAGAGAGAGCATGTCCATTCTCTATCAGTGGTATCATTTTCAAAATGTAAATTCAAAAAGAACACAAGTCTCTCAGCTATCATTCCCTTTCCCAGGGTAAGAAAACATAAACCATGGGGTTGAAACAGTGCTATCAAAAAGACATAATTTATATGCCAACAGCTGTGGGTGGGGTGGAGGAGGCAAAGATCACTTAAACCTGTGCTTTCATCATTGAAAAAGAATGGGTCAATGGCACGTGTAGCCCTGCTGAAGGGGGCTGCAGGGGACCCAGGGTTCTACTTATTAAAATACAGAACTGGCCATCTGGAGACTTCACAGTATAGCAGGGTATAGGGAAACCAGGGCCACGCTATCCCTGAGGGTGTGATTAAGGGCTCCTCTAATTAGACAGTTCTTTTCTGATCTTAGACTCGCACGGAACACAGTAGTGAGACGTGTGATCATCTTCAAACTGGAATTTTAAAGTTTCGGCCTGCCTTTCTTTTTACCTCTTGATTGAAGGGGAAAAGACGGTTTGGTTCATGATAACCTCAAAGAAAGCAACCTCAAGGCAAGCCTATTTGAAAAGAAAAGGAATACATGAAGAAAAAGGTAGAGTAGAAAGCTGTGCCAGCTCGACTGGGCACTAACCTCGCTGAAGAGGCCATTACCAGCCGCAGCAGTGCTTCACTTCTAACCCTGCTCTCTCCACCTTCCATCCAAGTCTGCTTCCTAAGAGGGACAGGTCTGATTATTCAACTTTTCAGTGCCCCGGGTTAAAAAGCAAGACTCTCTTAAACAGTCTCCTGTATTGGCTTTCAAAATAGAAACTTCTGTGCTTCACACACAAAGATAAGCCTCCTGAGAGCAACATTAGAGCCTCATCAGCCATCAGGCATTTGCTTCCATTCCGTTTTCCAGGATGTTAATGAGTTTATATAGACCCCGCCTACTTCCTTCCCAGATTCTTCAGGGGCTCAAGGCCACACAAAAGTGAAAATATTAATGTATGAAGGTAGCTTTTAAAATCAAGAAATAAGACAGGGAAAGTTAACAGATAAAACTTTCCTCTAGGAGTTTTATAGTGCACTGGGAAGACCCAGAGGGATCGGGTGGAGAGGGAGGTGGGAGGGGGGACCGGGATGGGGAATACATGTAAATCCATGGCTAATTCATTTCAATGTATGACAAAAACTACTGTAATTATGTAAAGTAATTAGCCTCCAACTAATAAAAATAAATGGAAAAAACAAATAAATTAATTAATTAAAAAAGAAAAACTTTCCAACGCATTATATGAGGCCAGTATTATCCTAATAATGAAATCAGACAAAAACATCAAAGGAAAGAAAAACTGCAGGCCAGAAATCCTCAGCACAGTACCAGCAGACCAAATTCTACCTAAACACACTGTATAAGAAGAATTATACACCATGATCAAGTGTAACGTATCCCAGGAAGGCAAGGTTGGTTTAACAAACCCAAATCAATTAATGTAATACACAATGTGAATAAAATAAATTTTAAAAAAGCATGATTATCTTAATAGATGCAGAAAAAGCATTTGACAAAATTCAACATACTCTCATGACAAAAATATTCTGCAAAGTAGGAACAGAAGGGAACTTCCTCAATATGACAAAAGGCACCTATGAAAAATCCAAACACAATGGTAAAAGAACGTTTTCCTTTTAAGATTAAGGAGAAGGCAAGGAGCCTCTCTCACCACTTCTACAGGATATTGTACTAGAGATGCTAGCTAGGGTGACCAGGTTAAGAAAAATGTAATAAAAGGCATCCAGTCTGAAAAGGATGGATGTAAGAGTTGGGTGGATGGATGTGAGACCAAAAGAAAGCTGAGTGCCAAAGAATTGATGCTTTTGAACTGTGGTGCTGGAGAAGACTCTTGAGAGTCCCTCGGACTGCAAGAAGATCCAACCATTTCACCCTAAAGGAAATCAGTCCTGAATATTCATTGGAAGGAGTGAAGCTGAAGCTCCAATATTTTGGCCACCTGATGCGAAGAACTGACACGCTGGAAAAGACCCTGATGCTGGGAAAGATTGAGGGCAGGAGGAGAAGGGGACGACAGAGGATGAGATGGTTGGACGGCATCACCGACTCGATGGACATGAGTTTGAGCACGCTTCAGGAGTTAGTGATGGACAGGGAAGCCTGATACACTGCAGTCCATGGGGTTGCAAACAGTCGGACACAACTGAGTGACTGGACTGAACTGAACTGAACTGAGTCTGAAAAGGAAAAAGTAAAACTATCTCTATTTACAGGTGAAATGATCATCTATATAGAACATCTTAAAATGAAGTGAAAGTCTCTCAGTCGTGTCCAGCTCTTTGCGATCCCATGGACTGTACAGTCTATGGAGTTCTCCAGGCCAGAATACTGGAGTGGGCAGCCTTTCCCTTCTCCAGGGGATCTTCCCAACCCAGGGATCAAACCCAGGTCTCACACATTACAGGTGGATTCTTTACCAATTGAGCTATCAGGGAATCCCAGAAAATCTTAAGGAATCAACTAAAAAACTATTGGAGCTAACAACTGAGCTCATCAACGTTGCAAGATTCAAAATCAAAATAAAAAATCAACTGTATTCCTATGTGCTTGCAATGAACAATCCCAAAATTAAACTTATAAAAATAATTGCATTTAGAATAGCATTGTAAAGAATAAAATACTTAGGAATAAATTCAACAAAAGACATACAAAATGTATACTCTGGAAACTAAAAACATTACTAAGAAATTAAAGACAACAAATGAGAAACAAAGAGATTGAATGTTCAGGGAACAGAAGACAATATTAAGCAGGAGACTTAATATTAAGATGGTAATCATTCACAAACTTATCCATAGATTCACCACAATCCCTATCAAAATTCCAGCTAGCTTTTTTGGAAAGTTAATAAGCTAATTAAAAAATTCATGTGCAAAGGTAATAGGCCTAGAATAGCCAAAACAATCTTGAAAAAAAAAGAAAGCTAGAAAAGGGACCTTGCATTTCTAGATTGCAAAACTTATTACAAAGCCACAGTAATCAAGACAATGCGGTACTGGCTTAAGGTCAGACATACATATCAATGGAATAAACTAAGAATCAAAAATACACCCTCATATCAGTTGATTTTCAACAAGGGTGATTTCAACCAAGGTGATTTAGTGGGGAAATATTAGCCTTTTCAAGGAATGGTGGTGCTGGGATGATATCTGCAAGCAAAAGAAAGCAGCTGGACCCGTATGTCATACCAGTTCTAACTCAGAACAGACCAAAGACCTAAATGTGAGAGAAAAAGCCGTAAGGGTCTTAGAAGAAACAGATGTAAATCTCTGTGACTTTAGATTAGGCAATGGTTTCTTAGACATGACACCAAACACAAAAGCAACGAAAGTAACACAATTTATCTATTATTTGGAATTAATCAAAACTTCTGTGCTTCATTAAAACAGTAAAAAGATGATCCATAGAATGAGAAAAAAATTTTTTACAAATCACGTATCTGATAAGGGATTTGTATCTGGAATACATAAAAAAAAAATGATTTTAACTCAATAACAAAAAGTAACTTGATTAAAAAATGCAAAAAGGATCCAAATAGATATTTCTCCAGGGGAGATATATGAATGGCCCAAAAGCACATGAAAAGATGCTCAACATCATTAGTTATCAGAGAAATACAACAAAACCACAATGAGATGATATTTCATATCCACTAGGAAGCCCAGGTTCAAAAAGACAGATAATAACAAGGGTTGGGAAAGATGCAGAGAAACCAGAACCTTTGTATATTGCTGCTAAGAATATAAAATGGTACAGACTCTTTGGAAACAGTCTGGCAGTTCCTTAAAGGAAAGGTCAAACACAGTTACTATATCATCCAGAAATTCCACTTCAGTTATATACCCAAGAAAAATCAAAACATGTCCACACAAAAACCTGCACACAAATATTCATAGCAACATCATTCAAAATAACCAAAAAGGAAAAAGAAATAACCATCAATCTGATGACCAGATAAACAAAATGTGGTCTACCCATACCATGGAATATTACTTGGCAATAAAAAGAAATGAAGAACTAATATATACTACAACATGGATAAACCTTCTAAGTATTACATAAAGTAAAATAAACCAGTCACAAAAGGCCACATATTGTATGATACCATTTATACAAAATGTTCAGAATAGGCAAATTCATAAAAATTAAAAGTGGATTAAAAGAAGATTGCTAGTTGCCTACGGCTAGGCAAGCTGAGAGAAATATGGAGTATGGGGTTTCCTTTGGGCGTGACGAAAATGCTCTAAAATTAGACAGTGATCACAGGTACACCACTTTGTGAAGATACCAAAAACCACTGAATTGTATGCATTTTAAATGGGTGAATTGTATGGTATGTGAATTCCATCTCAATAAAACTATTATAAAAAAAGTCTACCTTACCTTGAGGGAGTTGGGTCATCTTGGCCAAGGCGTGACATAATATTTATTAAGGTGTTAATCCCTAGTTTTTTTAAAAAAAATCACAAGTCAATATTGTTAGAAGCATTCTAGAGCCATCATATGACATGCAGAAAGAAAATTATTCATCTCACTCCAATTTGACTTGCATGTGGACAAGTTTGATCAACTTAGTTACTTTAAACACTATGTGATAGGAGAAATTAAATTTTCTCAAAAATTCATTCACTCTTATTATAAAGCTATGCTCAAAGTAAATGTCATTACATAAGAGTCAAGAAGCAGTAAAGAATGACAGAATGAAACAGTTACCAGGGAACCATTCCTGGTGGGGATTTAATTTACAAACAGGGGACACAGAACAAAATAGGAGAGTACAATCCAAACGGACCTTTTTTTCGCATGTGCATGTGATGAACTTTTCTATCTCCATATTTGGGCTGCCGAATTCCACAGTTAGACAAAGAATTCCTGGCATGATCAGGATTCATTCCAAAATTCAAGTGATGACTTGGGTGGGTCATGGCCAGCTAAAATTTCAAAGACATAAGTTCAGTTTTAAAAACTCAGCATAAAAAAAATTTAATAAAAACCAACCAAACAAAAAAAAGCATAGAAGCACCATGACAAATGAAACAGGAAAGAGACTTGTTTATCCAATTAAATTTTAAGCCCCAAACTTTCCATTTTTTCCAGTGTCAAATTTCCAGAGCTTTAGTTCAAGCCCTCTTCTGCAAACAAACCTAAAAATCCACATCTTTCACAGAAGAATTAGAATACACAGCACCTGGAAAGAAGAGCCACAAAAGAGGAAAAGATGAAAGAAGAAGAGGCAAATCTTTGATCTATTTCTTAGGGACAGTCTAAAAAAAAAGCGAGAAAGGGGGTTTGAAAGTGGCAATCAGAGTAGGGTAATGGAGAAGGCTATGTTTCTAGACGTCCTCATCCTCTCCAAAATAGAGATTCTCCATACTCCACTTGTAACCTGCAAGATGAATTACTCCTATCTTGTTATTATATAAACGTACAGGAGAGTAACTCTCACCTGTAACAGACAACGATCTTGGAAAGTATATCCTATCAACTTGTCCAGATGCATTAGGCACTGGTGGTAGCGAATATGATGGGTCAGAACCGGCAGCATCATGGCATGCTAGGAAAAAGCACATTTCAGTATGTTTAATTCTCTAAAAATGTATTAAGAACATTTTGATTATTTTAAGGCAAACAAAGAACATTTTTACATCCCAAATCCCATCTCCCAAAGTCTTAAAACAGTGTACTGGCAGCACGGCACCCTGGCATACCCTCTGTGAGGGGCAGAGGACTAAGTTGTTAGAGATACGGTCTCTGGAACCAGAGTGCCTGGGTCCAAATCCAGCTGTCATTCATTCATCCTGGGACTTACAGTAAGTTACTTAAGCTCTCTGTTTCTGTTTCCTCATCTGTCAACTGAGGACAACTGGTGTAGCTACCTTCGAGGACAGCTGAAAGGATCAAATGAGTAAATACAAAAGGCTGCTTAGAATAAGGCATGTGTGGCCCTCACTGAAGTAGGAAGGGCGCTGGTTCATCAGAAGCCAGCAGTGTATCCTCGAGGAAGCCATGAGAATTTCTGTACCTCCTTGTTTCTTTAATTCTAAGGGAATGGATTAGGACTCACAAATTCTGAAACTTTGTCAGGGTCAAGGCACTTCTGAGATCTAAGGAAAATGAGTCTGTCCCCAGAAAAAGGCCTGTGTGCACAAACACGCAAAAATTTTATGGAATTTTAATGAGTTCACAGATCTCTAAAGCCCATCATTAGCCTCTGGGTAAGAACTTCTCAGCCAGATGATCTCAAAGGGCCATTCCAGGTTTAACACTCAATCTAACATTATGAGGATAACTTTTATAAAAACCATCAATACAGTTAAATCACCTGGGGACACAGAACTTTTATTTCAATCACTTTTCATTTGGCTATAGATTCCTTATTGGGAGACAATTTCATGGAGAGCGTATCTTTTTCCTTTTTTTAATAACATTTCCCTAGAAATCAAGAGAATGAAGAAGTCATTCTTATTCATCAGAACCTGGAGGATGGGCACAGCCCACAGAATGACTGACATGTGCTTTCTATCATTTTAGTCTTTGAAGTATTTTAAGCTGACATTATTTAAAAATACATGATAATGGATTTGCTTGAAATTACAGAAATCAGTTCCCTGTAATAACTTATAAAGAAAGATTAGTTCTCCCAAAAAGGATCTTCAATCAATAGAAAGTCTTTCTTTCCAGTTCAATTCAGTAAATATGTATTGAGCACCTCCACGTGCAAGGTTTATAATAGCTGTGGGAAAAAAAAAAAGATGGAGACACTCTTTTCGCCCCCAGGGGCTTCCCAGAGATATGCCATTCTGATTTGAATTACTGGCATTTTGTCCACTATGCTTTGATCCATGCTGTATTAAAAAACACAATAAAAAGGAAACAAAGTATGTGGCCAAAGTATAATACAGTTTTCCAAGCATTTCAACTGCATGGGACTCATGGGTATTGAGGCTAAGCACTCAAGGAGGATGGGTCATGAAGACTATGCAGTGTAACTATCTTTCTAAAGTATGAATTCAAACTAGTGAGTTGTTTTCAAACCTCCAGCGAGGGAAGAATCATTACCTGTTAAGAAAATAACTATCTTCAGAGTATGCTGGTTATTAGAAAATAACCTATCCCTCTGATCTACCCCAGAAAAGAACAAGATACATTTAATGGCAAAGTTCCCACATCTTCTCTTCACCAAACTAAGTCTTATTTTCTTTACCCTTTACTCACACGAAACAGCTGTGAGTCCCTTCATCACTTCCTCTAAACTTACTCCAAATAGAGCCAGGTTCTCTTCCCAAGTAAGTACGGTTCTTGTGAACACCACAAAAAGGTAGGTGTGATCACCATCCATTCTGTATCCCTGACAAATAAGTCTTGAGGTTCTCTATAAGACTCTAGCTCAGTTTGTTAAATGATCAATCTTTGCAATGTTGAGACTACACACAATTGCTAAGCATCTCCCTTCATTCTATTCATTTCTAGAAACTGCTTTCACTTTATTTACTTGTTTTATTTATTTTTACTTGGCTGTGCTGGGTCTCAGTTGTGGCACGTGAGATCTTTGATCTTCAGTGTGGCATGCGGGATCTTTTTTTTCAGTTGCAGCAGGTAGGATCTAGTTTCCTGACCAGGGATCAAGCCCAGGGCTCCCGGCTGATCCTGCATCCACACACTGTGAAGTTTCTCCATATCCTCCATCACTTGTCCAGGCGCATTCAATATTACTATTGACAGCATTGGCAGCAGCAGAACATCATCGCATATTCCATCATCTTGTCCTTGTTCTTTAGAATAGTGCTGCTGGCTGAACAATTCATGTTTTAAGAATGAGTGACATCTACCACCTTTTCGCCTCACCCCACTCTCTCAGCTATTTTCATGTTTGTTTCCATCATTATTGCATGGCACTTCTTAGCAGTACCAGCCACATCGCTGCTACTTTTATGTTGCTCCCAGATATTCTGGGCTTGAAATAAAGATACTATACTACTGTACTCTGCACAGTACTATATAGTAAAGTACACAAAAGCACCACTAGAGGATGCATACATGTGACAATGTACATCAGACACATGAACTAACTTACCTGGCTGAACATTCAAACGCATGTTTACATCTTTCAAAGTTCGCAACTTGAAGGTTCGTATGTAGTGGACTCATTGTAGCCCAAACACAACTCTCTGTCTACTCACCACTCACCACCACTCTCTTCTTTTCAATTTTCTTCAGGCACCGTGCCTTCTAGTTTTCTCCAGTTTCACGTGGGCCTCATACTGGTTATATGTTAAACTGACATAGTTTCTTTGCTCCTTTTTGACGTCTCTATGTGTCACATTTATTCATCCTCCACTCTCAGGATTCAGCTTATTGATTTCCATGGACCTCCTGCTTGGTACAGCACAGGGCAGAGGTACATACTCTTCCAAGTCACCAGGTCAACTTTGGTGTGCAAAACCTCATTCTTAAAGTACAGACACCATAGCGACAGGATGCTTTTCCTCTTCTGAGTCATAATGCTGAATTTCTCAGCCTCAGTTTCAGGTTTTGATTCCTGCTTTTTCTTCTGCATTACCCGGAATTCATTCTAACAAGTGGTTACACTGACAGTTTCTCTCTAAACATGGTTCCAGTCGGTGTTTAGTTCACATGTAGTTCCAAGTTACAGGATCACCTCTACGTTTTCATTCCTCCTAACACTTGTTGGGACATATCAGGTAGAATTTTCTAATCTCATAACAACCCTTGGTAACTGCTCTGGTTGGGAAATTACGCTTCCAGAATGAGAAGCTGGGACTCAGATTGCTCTGCCTTAGATTGAACACAACAGTTCTATTGCCAGTGGCAGCCAGACAGCATCACAAGGCTTTTGCCAGCAACCCACCAGCAATTATTATTACCCCACCCGGCCCCCACTCCAAGATTTCAGAGATGCACTCAGCCATTTTCTCTTAAAACTAAGTATAAGTTATTTTTTCCACAGGCTTCAGGGTTACTCAGCATATTCCATGTATAAATTTCATTTAACTGTTGTTTCTCAGTCAGATTCTTATTCCTCATTAGCAACAATACTAACCACATTGACTTCGTATTACATACCACCTGAGCAAACTCCGGGAGATGGTGGAGGACAGGAAAGCATGGTATGCTGCAGTCCCTGGGGCCACAGAAAGAGTCGGACACAACTGAGCAACTGAACAACACAGGTCTCCTGCCATCTTATTTGACGAACACACATGAAAACGAAAACATTTATTCTGAGATACGAAACTATAGTTAAGAGGCAATATAACCTGTAAAAAAATAGGACTGGAGGATGGAAGCCTGGCTTCCATCAGCTGGCTGTCTTTGGAACAGCAGGAGTCCTCCATGCGGAGGAACCATCATTACACAAGAAGTATTCACCTTTGCTGAAACTCTACTCAGGAACCTTGTCTCCAACCAGTTAAACACAGGAACTGATTGTTTTTGGCTATGTGCATGCTCAGTCACTCAGTCATGTCCAATTCTTTGAGACCCCATGGACTGCAGCCCGCCAGGCTCCTCTGTCCATAGGATTTTCCTATCAACCTCAAAACAGAGTGTAAAATGTAATATATGCAGAGAGCAAAAGAAAACCTAGCCGTCCAGCTGCTTCCAATCCAGCTGGGAAGCCAGAGTTAGATTCTTGTGACACATCTGAAGGACATAAAACTACATGGTTCATTCTGGACCCCTATTTGTTTTACCAAAAGAAAGGGTAAAAAGAGCTCAATGTTTTTTAAAAAAATTGTGTTCAGTGGATCTAAACTGATCTAGGAACTGCTCCACAATAATGGGACACTCCCTCCACACCCACTAGTCACCAATCAATCAGTTTTTTGTTATTGTTGTTGTTTTTTATCTTTTTACAAATTAGGGTTTCACAGGGTTTTGTTAAAAAAAAAAAATTCACAGTTAAATCAAAAACATAAGTTTAAAAACCACTGAACTAGAAGAACTCTAAGATCCTTTTCAGTTCTCAGAGTTCCATAATTTCAGGATCTCTTAAACAATCAACTTTGACATCACTGAGATCAGCAGATGGCTGGACATTCCACTCACTGTTACTACAATGTCTTAAGCAGCTATGTTGGGGTTACGGTGCTGTGTTGGTTTTGGAGAAACACTAGCAAGCTGAAAAACTGGGTGATATTACAGCTCCAAGTGGCCCTAAGAAACAATCAATGGAAGTAAGATATCCACTTCTGAAAGCATTTACAGTTTAAAAAAAAAGTGGTCAACAGGTAATATAACTGAGGACTTTTTAGACAGACTAGCATCCACTACAGATGATTATTTTCAAACTACTTAGCAATATTGCATTAATAGCAGTTCATCTCAACAAAAAAACATTTAGCTTCACATGGTAAATGAATTACATAGCAATTCCTTTAACGATAGGATTAAATTCCACTGTTCAATACAATAATTAAATGCCAGCATTGATTTAAAAGAAAAAAAAAAACCTCATTACAATGAAATGAATACCTAAGAGAGTCTGGACTCATTACAATACATGCTACCATCACAAGAGATAAGTGGAAGTGCAGCCTGGAAGTATTCTTCCAAAAGGCTAAACAGAGCAAACTGCACTGACCCCAGTCTGTGTAATCATTTCCTTTACTGTAATTCCCATGGAGTGCAACCAATATCAATCACAACAAAAGAATCGAGCGAAGAGTCAAAGAATATGCTGGATTTGAGGGATGTCTAATTTGGTAAAAATTCACATTTAAGGAAAAAAATACCTCTTAGTGAGTCACTTATATACAGCTGAAATGTTCCTCTGTTAAGTCTACCCACCATCCCCGCAAAAATGGGCTGGGCTTCCTTGGTGGCTCAGTTGGTAAAGAATCTGCTTGCAGTGCAGGAGACCCAGGTTCAATCCCTGGGTTGGGAAGATGCCCTGGAGAAGGGAATGGCAACTCATTCCAGCATTCTTGCCTGGAGAATTCCATGGACAGAGGAATCACTGAGATAGAGCAAAGACTGTAGACTGGCGGGCTACAGTCTGTGAGATCACAAAGAGTCAGACACAACTGAGGGACTAACATATCACAAAGAGAAAATACTATCCTTTGGCTCAAATACGTATACTGTTTCTGCTCATTTAATACTTTCAGCTCTGCAGTATAAGCCTGGGTTCTCAGTCTGGAATGTCTGCACATACCACCTTCAGGAATCTGCCCGCAGAGCTGCCAGAGCATCTCTTTGGACGGGCACTTACCCACACTCTCAAGCAGGCAGATACATTTGAAGAACAGACCTGCCTTCCCTCAATGTGCAGAGACAGAATCGAGCATTACTAAGTCAGCGCCTCCCACACCCCCACCATGCACACGCGCCTGCACCACACTCAACTAAACAAGACAACGTGAAAACTGACACAAAAACAGAACCCAAATGATAGGAAACAATGTACTGTTGATGCTCCATTTAGCTGCAAGGTAATACATTCTGCAGCAACTTCTCAGAATTAGGAAGACTTCAGTGCCAGATGCCTTTTAAAGGAAGAGATGTTTGGGTATAACTGTGTTCTCAGAAGCGTCATCACCTGACAGACATCAGAACGGATGCCAGTTTTCCAGAAGCCTTGGCTACTCAGCTCCACCGTTACTTCTCGCCTCATAGTGTTCTTCTGTCGTATTTTTTGGAGTGCTTCCTAGAAAAGAACTCATTATGGTGAGCGACCTGACAGTTCTAAAGCAATAGTAAGCCAAACACCAAGCATTAGTAAATTAGCTGGATTCGTTCACCCTCACATTCAGGTAGTCAAAATTCTTCATGCCAAATTAGATTTTAAAAAAATAAATAAAGAAAGGCCTTGGGAATAAGCCAGCTTTTCCTGGTAAATGGATAAGGAAAAAACTAAACTAAAGAAGCTCTACGCTGGCAAGCTCAAATGAAAAATGTCCTTTTGGGGACTTTTTGGTGGTCCAGTAGCCTCCCCATGTGGGGGGTTCAGGTTCAATCCCTGGTTGGGGAACTAGGATTCCACATGCCTCACAGCCAAAAAACCAAAACATAAAACAGAAGAAAAATTGTAACAAATTCAATAAAGACTTTAAAATGATCCTTGTCAAAAAAAAAGAAAAATCGTGAAAAAAAATGCCCTTTAACTGAAAAAGAAACAAAATGTGGTGTTTGGGATCTGAAATCTGCATGTAAAAATTATATTTAAATCAAGCCTTATGTTAAGCATTTACATATAAGAAAGACAATCAGTAAATTAACCAGAAACCCATGTAATTCTCAAAGACGGCTTCTAATTTGCAAACCCTGCAGCAAGGGTATATTTTATTAAAACAAGACAATGATCCAAAACTGCTGCAAGACGTAAACAGGAATGGACTCTTCCCTTTTGCTGCCACCCTTCAAATAATTAATGATAAAAAATAATTTTATACTTGTATGCTTATTCAATAAAAAAAAATCTCATAGGAATTCATAATAACAACAGGAACCACCACCACCTCCATCACTGATTAAGTTCCTAATACAGGCCAGGTAGCTCAGACAGTAAAGAATCTGCCTGCAATGCAGGAGACCAGGGTCCTATCCCTGGGTAGGGAAGATCCCCTGGAGAAGAGAATGACAACCCACTCCAATATTCTTGCCTGGAGAATTCCATGAACAAAGGAGCCTGGTGCGTTATAGTTCATGGGGTTGCAAAGAGTCTGACATGACTGAATGACTAACGCCTTCCCAGGCCAAACACCACTGGAGGAAAGTTAAATGGAGTGTCTCCAAGTCCACACCATCACCCTTTCCCCTGGGTGCATTAACAGAAGGACATTTCAGTCAGCCTCTTTCGGCCTTGGTTCCATCTTTCATAATGAAGCTGACTGGCTCAAGTCACAAAAAGTGACAACGTCAGAATTCAAACACTTTTCTCAGCTTCAAAACCTTGCTTTTACATTATGGCAGCAGAATAAACCCTCAATGAGACAAAATCTATGTTGATACTAAATCCATTGATTTTTTTTCTTCTTAAATATAACACACAAGTGATCCTGGAATATAGATAATACTACCCATTAGTAAAAAAAAAAAAATATATGGAATTTGGGATATAAAGTCTCCCAAAATCAGTTCACCATACTAAACTAACAGATATATAGAAGATAATCTTTTACAATCTAAGACCAAGAAACTTGAATATGTGGTCCTATGTACAGTCTAATTAATGACAAAAGGCTAATCTGGGAAGTTTTAAAGTTAACTTCTTAGAGAAGCTATATTCATTCCCAACATCTATTAAAAAACTGGCCTTTTTAAGGAAAACATATGGTCCCTTAGCTACTAAAAGATGAAAAAAAAAATTAGCATACTAACATGAGGAGGGAAGTGAAGTATGATTTTTTTTTTTTTTTAAAGTATCTTTCCATCTTATTCTAAAAGTGTGGTGTAACAACAATCTCAGATAAACTGGAAGCACATCATCATTAGTCATATAGGGTCCAATACTGACCTCCCTCTGTGCGAGCTTTTGCTTGTCAGTCTGTTTGACTTTTGGACTATTTGCTAGTAGGTGGCGAAGCTTAACGTAACTCTTCCACAGTTTCTGGTACCTGAGGAAAAGGACAGACGGACATTTCAGACGAAAAGAAGGCAAATCTAAAGTGCCATAAAGCCAGGTGTTCTCATAGGCCTGCTCGATCATAAATGCATTCCTGTGAACATCCTTAATGCCTGCAGACCTTCATTCTAAGGAAGGACGTGGTCTGGAGGGATGGAGGAGCTAGATGACCAAGAGTCATCTGGAATCTATGTATAAGATAATCATTGCCTACGTGGGTTAAAAATGAGGTTTCACTATATGGATGAATCTCTTTGGAGGCAATTCCAAGAGAGACACACAAAAACCGATAGAAACATGTATGGTTTCTCATTGTTACCTCTTTGAAAGTAACACATTTAAATACATGCTTTCTGATGTTTGTTGAAAGAAAGACCCCTTACTCAGCAGACATTATCAGTGTCTGAAACGCTTTCACTGAAGGTAAAAGTTGGAGAATATGAGAAAAGAGAACCCTCCTCATGATAATATCCAAAGTACATAGCTACTCACATCCATTTTTCCACTGGGAAGGGAAAGACAAATGGTATATAGCAATTTGTATATACCATGACAAAAATAACCATCTTTGAAGCCAAATATGTTATAACCTGGATCAGGCTAATGAATAAGTTAAAGTACCCTGAGAAGGAAGAGAATATACAGTTCTTTTATCAATTCACACTCCAGCCAGCTGAGAGTCCACATGAGCCTAATCACATTCTACTAACACTTTTTGGCAAGAAGGGACTTCCCAAAGATTTTCTGTTATATTGAAACTGCTCCTTTCTTGGCCTTTGCTGGGTCTCTCCTTTGTGATAACATTTTTTACAGACAATGGAGAAAAGAAAGAAGTACTTACACAGTGCCTGGTTCATTGCTTCATACTTTTATCCAAAGGTAGGGAAAAAAAGAACAAAACCCTTTAGCCTCTTCTAATATATCAGCCAGAATTGGATTTATGAATTGAAAATCTCCCATTCCCTTGTCTCCCATTATGAATCCTTTAAAAAAATTAAATCAGGAAATGGTTTGTTTGACAAAGTAGGGAATCTAAACACTCCTGAAGACTCTAATGGTGCTATTTCCCTTCCCACACATCCTCATTTTCTCCCAGCAAAACACTAATGGGCCAATTGGAAAGTAATATCAATTCTCAGAGCCAGAAGTCATGGCTTCTCCTTCCAATACAACCCTTGACTTTGCATGGGATGTTGAGCTCTTACTAAGATGCCTCCCCCAAATCAGAACTCTACATCAATGCAGCAGTGCTGGGAACCAGCATGGTGCTACTTTCCTCGAGAAGGCACTGAAAAAAATAAATAAAAATGGTAAGTTCTATAATGATGGATAAAGGAAAATTCCTTAAAGGTTAAAAACATACAGGACTCATATTGACCAAGACTGCCAAGGATAATCTATCAAATAACACGTAGAGAAAATAATTCTTCAGGAGCTACCATAACTCGATTCATTTGGTAACCTAAATTTGGAAATGTGGCTCGTTTCAGATCTTAATTTTTAGAAAGAAAAAAATCCACTAAAGGGGATTCCCTGCTAATTTCAGCTGTTAGTAGAAGGTGAAATTGGCTAAGACAAACACCGAGAAATATCTTACTGTGGGTCTCCAGCATAACTCAACTGTGCAGGGCGTATCCCAAAGTGAACGATAATCGGAAAAGTAATCACATCAGGGTTGAACTGTTCACGATCCAGTTGATCGATGCGGACAGAGCTTGGTTTCTAGAGAGAGAGAAATCAAAGCCATTTATTCCCTTAAGAAGTCTCTAAGTATTGACTTTAATCTAAGTAGGGAAGAAATTAATCGGATTTTTCCCTAGGAAAGCCTCATCCCCAAAGGGAAAAAAATGTCATTAAAAACCTTTAATCATAGCAACCACACTATATAAAAACTATAATGTCATCCCTGCAAATGAGTCTGTGCCATTCGGCACAATGAACGATGATTCTGTCCTTTTCTGCCATCCGCATAGAAACCTTTAAAAATTAAACTTTTGAAAGGACACCTAGTCAGATATAACTTTTCCTTAACCTCTCCAGAGGCACAGAGGGAATACTCCACATGACCAAAAGAGACACGCTGGCTTATTCTGCTTTAACTGCACATTTCAAATGGAAAGCTTATTTCTATTCAGCAGGCACAGACAGATGCCTCTAGATAATTTTTTTCCCCGTTAGTTCTCTGTGTACCTGGTGTATTCCTTTAATTCTGCACCTTTAAATGAAAAGGTACGGTGGTACAAAGACCAAATAGTTAAGCTTCTCTTACTATGTCCATGGAGGCCATTCTTAAATTTTAATAGAGAAGACTCAATTTTCATAAGTTTCTTTTCCAAGTCTAATTAAAAAAAAAAAAAAGAAGTGAACAGCTTGGTTCCTTCTTAAGTTACTAAAGTATGAGGATCCATTTGTAAAACAGCTTTCATCCTGAATGCTTAAGTTTGTGAAAAGATGGTAAAATCGCGGAGCGTATGTTTTAGCAACTCCTTGCTTATACTGAATACTCAGGGCAGTCCCTAATTAGAAGCTAAATTCTGACTAGAAGATTGTGGGGGTGTTTGGCCCAGTTGCTTCAGAGCTATAGGCTATAGAATTGATCCCCATGGAGGCTAATAAGCTTCACTTGTATTGCCCAGTAATGCCCAACAACTATGACTGGCCTGGTTTGTCTAAGACACAGGGGTTTCATTGCTAAAACTGGGAAAGCCCTCAGCAACTGGGACAAACTGGTCACTCTACCCACAACTGTAGTCCAAGTAGGTGCCAAACTATTCAATAAAAAGATTTGTGCAAATTCATCCATATTAGCGAGAAAAAAAAAAAAATCTTAGACTTCAAAGAATATTTCAATGTCATTTAACAATCAAAATTTTACCAGTATCTTGAAAAGTTGACCTTTGCTTTCAAAATTAGGTCAAAAAGGCCAGGTTCTCTCCTCTGAGTCAAAACCCTTTGATGTTCTTTCATGCTCCTCTGCCTACCAGGACCACAATTAAAGTCCCTTCCTGCCTCTGCAGTCACCACAGACCAGATTATGCTGGGCTTCTCTTTGGCTCCATGCTATAGTATCAGGGTTTCCCAGGTGGCACTAGTGGTAAAGAACCCACCTGTCAACGCAGGAGATGCAAGAGATGCAGGTTTGATCCCTGTGTCAGGAAAACCCCCTGAAGGAAGGCACATCAATCCACGCCAGTACTCTTGCCTGCAGAATCTCATGGACAGAGGAGCCTGGTGGGCTGCAGTTCAGAGGGTCACAAAGAGTCGGACACAACTGAAGTGACTTAGCACACATAGTATCAACAGAGGAAACAGTGATTTAAAATATTTGTGTGTGTGTGTGCACGTGTGTGCTCACTCAGTCATGTCCAATTCTTTCCAACCCCATGGGCTGTAGCCTGCCAGGCTCCTTTGTCCATGGAATTCTCCAGGAAAGAATACTGGAGTGGGTAGCCATTCCCTTCTCCAGGGGATCCTCCCGACCCCAGGATATGCATTGCAGGAAGATTCTTAACCATCTCAGTCACCAGGAAAGCCCTTTAAAATATCTGTACTATCTCTTATTTATAGGGGGATAGGGGATGAAATAAGTTCTAGACTTGGCCACACCCTACAGTATCCATCATATCATTTTTATTTTTATTTTTTTTTAAATATGGAACGTTTCACGAATTTGCGTGTCATCCCTGCGCAGGGGCCATGCTAATCTTCTCTGTATCATTCCAATTTTAGTATATGTGCTGCTGAAGCGAGCACCATCATATCATTTTTATATTAGAATAAAATACATTCTCACCAATGACCAAAGTGTTCCCTAGCAGAGGCAAAGTACCTGGGGAGGAAGATTAATTTTAAATTCTGCAATAAAGTTCTTAATGGGACCATAATGATTTGAAATTTTTAATAAATTCCCCAATATCCTTATCACTGGGCAATCTTTCAAAGCAAGCACTTCATAGGACAAAATATAGTACCATGTCTATTTTGTCCTATTCTTAACAAGATATAATGAAAGATTGTTTCATGATACTGAGTTTTCAGGACACTTTTCTCCTCTGCACTAAGACTAAATAGCAATTACTAAAACAAACAAACAAACAAAAACTACCTTAAACATGTCCCAAAGCTTGACACCCAAACCTACCTCTTATTTCCAATTACTTTCCAGCATAAACCTTTCACCCTGACTAACCTGTGGTTTCCTCATTATCTTCAAAACTGGCCGTACACCAACTCAAGAATGTTCATTCAAATGTGCCAATGACTTATACAATTCCTTGATTCTTTAAAGACCACAGTAGTGTCTATGAAGCATCCCTGGGAGCCTGGCCCAGTGATCTCACCAAACGCTACAAGCTTTCCTGACTGGCTTTTGCAGAGATTGGTCCATTGATTCAATAATTCATCACAGACTCCTTTCATATGGATATGCTGTAAGTCTGCAGCTGGACAAGCATCATATATAATCTATATACCTCAGTAGCACTGGGCTCACGTAGTGGTTCCTCAACAACTGAGTTGAATGATGATCATGGCAAGGGAGTAAATATTCTCTAGGCCACTGGCTCAAAAACAAGCAATAAGTGAACCAGAAGTAACTGGGGAATTTTTTTAACTATAGGTCACTGAGCCCCGTTACCTGGAGTACATGGAATGGGGTCCATCAGGGCATTCTTGTATTTTCAAAAGCTCTCCAACTGACCCTAGGAGTTCAGGAAATTTTAACCATGCCATAGAAGGGAGTCCCAGGTAAAAGTGCTTCCCCAGTATATCATGAGATTCTTCAAGCCAACCCACCAAGGTAAAAAGGATGTCTCCCACCACCATTGCCCCCACTCATCCTCTGACCCAACTATAAAACTAACAGAGAAACGTAAATTCATGCAACTCTTTAAAAGAAGAAAGATTAAATCCACAGTCACACTCTCATAGTGCTATGATTTTGTGTATTTCTTTTACTCTAACAATTATCTGCGTGGCTTAACAACATAATAGTAGAAATTGTATAACTTTTTCAGTGTTAAACAAGTTTCAGGTTTAAAGACATTTTTATTAAACACTTTCACTTTCTAGATTTGTTTAAAATAATCAGCATTAGCTGGAATGTCTGATTTGCAAATAGCAACATTTTGTTTGTGCAGATGTTACTGTCATGCTACAAAAAGTTGATTTAGAGTTTTTATTTTTATGAATCAAGGCTATTAAGCAATTTGGCAGCCTTTCTAAAACAACAGCTTTGTTTAAATAGATTATTCTGTTTCTTTACACAGTAGTATTTTAATTCTCCACTTTTGCAAAACTTTATACAGATAAGATGCCAATATATAACTATTTTATGAAACAATATTTTAGAGGAAAAAAATTTAATTTAATAATAAAACAGCGTGCTCTTTATCAGAAGAAAAAACAAGCTATCTATTAATTCTCTGCTTTTGATTTTTATGCTTTAACTTAAAAAATGGGACATTAGAAGCAAAATTTAAAGCAATAAATTTAAAAAACATAAATAAAAATTAGACAAAGGATGTCAATAAACCATTATCAGAAGAAAAACTTTAAAGGTCGATCAACATCTAAAGTATCAAGTTTTGCTAAAAACCAAAATAAAAAGAAAACTGAATAAAAAAAAAAATAAAAAATAAATAAAAAATAAAAAATAAATAAAAAAAAAAAAAGAAAACTGAGCTAAATAGTATCTATTTTTTCCCTACCAAATTGACCAAGTTTTTTGTTAAACTAGTATAAGTGGTATGAAGGAATGGTCAGAGTGTGAATTTTACAGCCCTCTGGAAGGTAATTTATGAAGTATCAAAAGCCTTAAAAATGTGCATACTTCAAGGAGTCAAATGGATACATTCAAACAAATACATACATATGGAAAACATGTTTAGTCACACACATACAAATTCAATACAGCATTATTTGCTATAGCAAAAATCTGGAAGCAACTTAGGTGCCTGATAATAGGGGGTTAATTAAGTAACAGTTTTTAAAATTACATGCCTAAAGAAATGTAAAATGAAGGAAAAATAACAACTTTGTGCTTGTTGTTCCTGAAGGAAGATAAGAAGGAAAAAGCCTGAATATTAATATTTAATAGTATGATGCCAATTTTGTTTCAAAACAATATGAAATATGTCTTACTAGAAAAGTGAATAGTATCATCTCTGAAGAATGGAATTATGGGCAATTTTTCTCTTCTTTGGGCTGTTTTTCTCTTTTTCTAATTATCTATAGAGAAGATCTATTACTTTTATACTCAGAATAAAATGAGAGCTAAACATAATCTAAAAACTTCAAAATTCTCCATAACAAGCAGAATAAATCTACTAAGCAGATGAATTTACTATTAAACATGCCTTCAGTTCAGTTCAGTTGCTCAGTCAAGTCTGATTCTTTGAGACCCAATGGACTGCAGCCCGCCAGGCTTCCCTGTCCATCACCAACTCTTCTGGCTACATATACGCCTACAAATACGCCTATATTATGATATTTTTCTTATTTATTAAATATTTAAAGGAAAAAAAATTACTCAAAGGACAAGAAGTAATGAGTACTTAAATCTTTAAAAACGTTCTGTTAGCATTTCTACGAAACACTCAAACCTGAAAGGAAGGTGACTTAAGTCTCTGACCGTCAATACCAGCACATACCGCTCCAGGGTTGGTGACGATCATGCCTTTGCATTCTTCTGCGTATTTCTGCCACTCGAGCTCTTCCCACTGAAGCATATTGGCAATCTCCTCTTCGGGAACCAGGGCTTTGCTACAGCGTAGTAAGTAAAGTAGGATCTGGTGCATGGACAGCACTTCTTTTCCTCCGTCTTAGGTGACAGTGGAGAGAGAGGGAAAAACAAGAGAACTCAATTAACAGCCAGTCATCTACCCAACCAGGAAAAACAAGACAATGAGAGAAGAGCATTTGTAAAAAGGTAGTTTAGAATTTACATCATTAAACTATTGTTTAACCAGGTGCCAAATAATAGGCAAGCTATTTGTTTCACTGATGAACAGGGCACATAAACCATCTCATTTATGAAAATGGCAACAACATTATAAATGATAAAAGGCTCCACTTCTGAGGTAGGAATATAAAAAAGGTGCCTACCTAAATAAATTTAAAACAACCTAATGTAAAGAACCACAGTTTATAATATACAGAACCATGTTATGTTTTAAATATTTTGTCAGTCTTTATAGGGTAACAAATGAAAGTGACGTTACTGATTTAAGGAAATTCTAAGCTTTTATGAAATACTTATGGATGTTTTCAATAAACTATTGTTGCATTACAGTCTAATTTTTCGGTGCTAATGTGTTGCCCCTGCCATGAGGAACAGAGCTGAAGAGCTTATACCAATATCATGAAGATCATTATGGAGTTAGTACATGGAAAAAATACCAAGTATTCTGAGACTTACAGAAGCATATATTACCAAGTACAGAGGCTAAAAACAACAAAGAACATAAATAAAGTAACTTGGAAAAACTCAATTAATCTGGTACTTCATGAAGCAAAGCCATTCATCTAATATGTACATTAATTTCAGGTTCACAGGCTTCTGCCTTCTCTTTAGGTTTAGCTTTTGTTTTTTTTTTGGGCCACACTGCATAACACACGGGCTCTTAGTTTCCTGACCAGGGACTTGAACTCATGCCCTCCTCATTGGAATCACAGAGTTTTAACTACTGGGCTGTCAAGGAAGTCCCTGGGTTTATTAGCTTCTTGACTAGTATGTACAACCAACTTTTCTCTGCCTAGTCCCACCCAAAGGAAGGACAAGAGCCCTGATGGTGTAGAGAACAATAACTACTCTCCCCAAGGTCGTGAGACATGTTAGAAGCAGTAGCATAGTGCCAAACACTTCATGGAAAAACAAGGGGACCAAGATGCTGGAGGCAGACAGGCATAAATGAGAGGGTTCTATTTGTGCTGGAAGAGTTTATGATACCCAAGGAATCTAGGATACCAGAAAAAGGAAGAAGAGAAAAGCTTTAAATTTGAGTTGCTATGGGCTAAGATTAAGCCTACACTTCTAAGACAGCAGACAGTAAGGATCAAAATTTCTTTCTGATTTATGTTTTTCTATCTCAGATGCTGCTCTGGAATTAAATGGCATTGCCGCTATAGGGTTACTATATTTGTAGGAATGCATTCATTTAGGAATCTAAATACACATTCATTCATTCAATAAGTATAGCACCTATTATGTAGCTGGCCCAGGAAACACAGTGCTAAAGAGCTGAAACTCTTACATTCCAGAGGAGAGAAAGAGACAACAAAAAACAACTACTTAATAATAGATCAGAGATGAGAGCTCTGAAAATGGATCAAACTGGGCAACTATACATAAAAGGGTGGTCAGGAAAGATGTCTTTGAAAAGCTGCCATCTGACAGGCTTGAAAGAAGCAGAGGAGCTCCATGTGGCTACCTGGGAGAGAAGTGTCTCTGTTAGAAAAAAATAGCCAAAGCCCAAAGGTGGGACTGATGTGTTCCAGGAACTGCAAAGGGGCCGGCATGGATAGAGCAAATTGAGGAGGAGAATGTAAGAGAGGCTGCAGGGAAATCAGATCTGGCAAAGCTTTACAGAGCAGTCTCAGATGGGAGCATGTTTTTCACCATTATGTGCCTGGCGCTCTGAGTGGTCCCATGTAACAATTACGGAAAAAAACAAACAAACCAAAACGTAAGCTCCAGGCCTTCAAGAAGCAAGTTGGCTAACAATGATTAATCACAACAGTTCCTAGAGGAATCTTTGCAGGTAATATTCTGAAAAGAGTTCTCTTAATTAAAGACACTGAGTCTCTTTTTAAAAAAATAAAGAAGTAACTAAAGTAGAAAATACAATCAACCTACATGAGGACATGTTCTGTCTACTCTTCTTACTATTATTCACAGCAGTAAAAAAAAAAAAAAATGGTATGCCTCATTACAAAACATCTGCCTTAAAACTACAAGTCACCTTTGATTAACAAACTTTCGTGGTTAAGGAGATATTTCTCAGACTCTGTCTCAACAGACATTTTAATCTGCCTGCATGTGACATGACTTTCTCAATCAATGATGTTTTTCTCTTTGCTAAGGAGCCCAGGAAATCATAATGCCCCTTGGCCAGTCTAAGTCCACGGTAATCTCTGCTTCTGAGGAGGGGTGGAGGCTGAAGTGAGCAGGTGGACAAGAGACCTCTAAAGCTGGAGCAAGTTGACTCACACTTGCATGTGTTAACGTAAGAAGCAGCAGGGATAAAGGAAACCGAGCCCGCAGAGGAAGTGCCATACTGAACTGCCTTCTAGAAACGAAGGAAGATTAGTAAAGAGCACTGTGAGCTTATAAGGATACATCAGAGGAGTAGAGTGCTGTTTGCTATAAGGATTAGAGAAGAACACTCAGATTTTATTTGGGAAGGTTGGAAGGAGAAAAGATATGCAACTCTTAACTATACACGTTGGTGCTGGAAGTCACCCCCGGTTACAAAGTGGTCAACTTCAGGACACTTCAAATAAATGGGAAAATGACTAAGGGCACTGAATTTAAAGAGAAAAGAATTAAAAAACTCAAAGAGCTACTGAGAGGGAGGAACACTTAAACCTGCAAACCAAGGGCACTGCCCAATTTAGGAGAATACCTGCGAGATAAAGAAGGAAGGCCACCAAGGGCTCTGAGAACGCGTCTACCTAGTTGGGGTGCAAAGATGCTGATGAGGGAGGGGAGTTTTATAGCTGCATGGAACTAGAAAGAATGTTTTAAAAACATACACACATCAGGCACGAGGTAATACTGAAGGAGAAACTATAAACCCATGCTGAAAACTGCTAAATATTTTAAAAAACAGCTAAAATCTAAAAAGATAGATATTTACCGGTGTGTAAAAGTAGAAACTCAAGACAGATAACATGAGGTGAAACCCTTACCGGAATATAAGGAAAGGTAGACAGAACTAGAGAGACCCGCAGAGCCCATGGGGCAAGAGCTCCATCCCTCGCACTCGGCTTGGCAAAAGGGACATTGCAGAAATATTTGTGGGATGACTTTCTGTAGCAGATAAATAATGTGGCCACTTGCTCACAGACTGCCATGAATTTACTAATGTTAATGAATTGGCTCTTTTGGTTTGTCTGCTTTGCTACATGTTTATGTTGAGGATTTATGGAACTATGTCACTGAGGGCTAGGAAGTAATCTTTATCTCATTGGCTGAGATAAATAGGACCCGATATAAATGAGAAATTAGAGCGGGTAAGCTAAGGTTAGCAGGAATTCTGCCAGTGCTGGGACTGGAACCGTGACAACGGCTCATTATTCGGGAAGAAGTGGAGTTTGTGTTTCAGGGAATGAATCTGGACAGTCATTAATGAACTGACAGACTTTATAAACTGTTTCTTAGAGACTTAATTCTCTCAGTTTATATTGCTTGATTATTTATATGGTTACTGGGAGGAGGGGCAATTTGCTAGGGAATTTGTGTTAAGAATATACTGGTTAAATGAGTAGTTCTCAAGAGTATAATACTCAGTTTTAAGAAACATACAATACTGTCTTTCCCTACACTGAGAATAACTATATAATTGCATTACCTATATGCAGACATATAATTATGTCTCCCAAATATTCCTAGAAGACACCTTTATATAATCTTAAGTTTTGAAAACTTTTATTAATAGCACAGAATTTTTTCAACTCTCCAAAAACAAAGTTAGATTAAGACACTGTATCAATTTATGTCTTTTTCCAAGCTACACTTCCCTCCTGGGAATTCTGACATACTCTCATCCTCTCTGGCCCTCTGTGAGCCATAGCTAAAGAATTACTTCTCCAAAATGAGACAATTTCCAAAAATCAATCTGCTAGATAGTTGATTTGCAAAGCTGATTTGGGATTCTCAAAGCTTTACTACAGCAATGATATAAGCAATCAACAGGCTTTCCTGTAAGCGCAGTCTTTCTATCTTGAATTATGCCCTGCCCTAGCCCTGGCTACAGTCAAGATAAAACCTTAAACTGGCTCTAGGAGAGCTCGTATCAACTATCTGACTATTAAAGGTGGAGGCAAGGATAAGGGAAGAAACAAAAATTTGAGAAAACTCTTATGATATCAATAAACTGGTTGTTCTGTGATTTGACTTCTGGTAAACTGATCTGTACTGAAGAATCCTTGGTTTAATCTATTAGCTAAACTTTGGATAAATTTGTATAAAGCAACTGAGACGGCTGACTTCAAAGCAGGTCAACTGAGGAACTAGAGAAAAATTGTAATGACTGATTACATTTTCATAAACTTTCAATCTATATACTATAATAAACTGTTATGAACAAAAAGCCGATGAGAATAAGAGGACCATGAAATACCTGAAATACTATATAAAAGTTGTTCATTCTCAAATGAGTTCGTAAGAGGCAAATATTAATAATAACAATGAGATAATTTTTATGTATCAGATGCCAGTGAAACCCAGTGTTTGCAGGGTGGTGTCAAAAATGCTGGTTAGAACTACAAACTATGTCCTTTTTAGAGAAAACTTGGCCAACTCTTTCCAAATTTAAAATGTGCATACTGTCTTAAATAATTACCTCTAGAACTCCACCTTATAAAAACACACAAATGCAAAAGGAGAGATGCATAAGACTATACCTGAAGTATTTACATGTAATGGGATGGGGAGGTGGGGGTTGCGGAATACAGACTTCCAAAATACTCCTGACTACAGGAACTGTTAAAAAAAAAAAAAAACCTGATGTCTATTCATCTATAGAATGCCACACAGGTGTTAAAAATGAAGGCAATGTATTTATATGTGTGTTAGCCACATTGTTGTGTTCGACTCTCTGTGACCCCACGGACTGCAGCCCGCCAGGCTCCTTGTCCATGGAATTCTCCAGACAAGAATACTGGAGTGGGCTGCCATTTCCTTCTCCAATGAGAATTTTAGTAGTAGTAGTTTAGTCGCTAAGTTGTGTCCAACTCTTGTGACCCCACAGACTGTAGCCTGTCAGGTTCTTCTGTCTATGGGATTCTACAGGCAAGAATACTGGAGTGGGTGGGCTGCCATTTCCTTCTCTAATGTATTTATATAGAGGATGTCTGAAACAGCTGGGTAAAAAGGTCAAGTTGTGTAACATGTTTAGTGTTATCTCACTTAAAGAAAAAAGTATAATTCTTTCTATATAGGTTAAAACAAATAGAAATCAAACCATTTATAGCACCTACTTATTCTCACACATCTAGAAGCTGGTGTTCACTTTTTTACTTCATACATTTTGTACTATTTATATGTACACACACAGAGTGGACACAATTAAGGGCAAAGGTAACACTTCAATTTTGTGAAGAAAGAATGGTCTTTTCAATAAATGGTGCTAGTCAACTGGATGTCATATTGAAGATAATGAATCTTGACCCATATCTTAAGTTATTTGTAAAAACAAATTTGAGACAGATTATAGGACTAAATTTGTAGAAAATATAGGAGAATATCTTGATGACCTAGAGGTAGGCAAAGTTTTCACAAACAAGATACAAAAAACTCTAAGCAAAAAGGAAAAATAAGAATTAAAATTAAGAATTTCTGTTCATCAAAAAAAATCACCATTAAGATGGTGAAAAAGCAATCACAGAGAAGGTATTGGCAATACATATATTGGCCAAAAGATTCATATAATAAATATATATAAAAATACCTACAAATAAATGAGAAAAAGGCAAATAAAGCAACAGAAAAATGAACTAAAGGCTTGAATAGGCACTTCAAAAGTCAACAAGGAAAAAACAAGTCAAGGAAATGGTCTATGTATGAAGTGGTGCTCCATTTCATTAGTCATTAGGGAAATGAAAATTAAAATCATACTGTGATACCTTTGATGTTCATCAGACTAGCTAACTTGAAAAAGAAAGGAAAACACCAAGCATTTGTGCAAATGTGGAATAACTTGAACTCTTACCTATACTGCACGTGGGACAGTGAAAAGGTACCATCATTTTGGAAATCTGTTTGAAAGTATCTACAAAGCAAAATATAAAAACATCCAGAATTTCCACTCCTAGGTATATATCCACTATAGGAAAGCATAAATATGCTCATCAAAAGGCATGTACAAGAGTTTGGTGAACATATGCGTGCTATCTGAAAGAGTCAAAAACTAAAAATACACAAATGTTCATTAATCACAGACAGGTTAAATACAGTTTAATTTAGTCACACTGTGTAATACTATACAGTGATGAGAATGTATCAACTACAGTTAACTATAACAGGTATTTCAAAAACAAAATAAAGAAAAAGAAACAAAAAATATATACAATTCTAATTTTTATAATTCAAAAACAGGTAAAACTAATACATGGTATTTTCAAGACAGAATAGAGGCTGCCTTAAGGAGTCGGGTGGTGACTAGAAAGGGGCTTGTCGATGCTGGTAACCTTGAGTGAGGTGCTGAGTACACAGTCATATTCACTTGGTGAAAACTGAGTCTTATGACAAATGCACTTTTCAGTATTTGTGTTCTACTTCAATCAAAGGTTTATTTTTCAAAAATGAGAGACAATACCAAAGAATGAGTGAAAACCACATTAACTCTCATTAATTAAAAAATACATGAATATTTAACTAAGGCACTCTTATGACCGATTACATAAAGTCCGTAAACAAGCATTTACTGAGCCCCTGCTATGTGCCAAGGAATATGTTAGTACTGATACAAGACAGACTGTTAATGCCTCAGCCTCATGGAGCTACAGTTGGAAGGAAGGAAGCAAAGGAAGAAAGTCCAAAATGTGAAGAAGACTAATAATTCATTTTTTACAGCAGCATAAACTGATGGGGTTCTTTTGATAAGAAATTTGGTACTATATATCATGATCTTTAAAAATATCCATCTACTGGATTAATTACTAAAAATTAGGATGCAAAACATGTATCAGTATGATGACTAGCATGTAAAAAAGTTATGAAGGGAAAAAAATGAAAATATACACCAAAATGGACACATCATTTTGAACTCACCATTTTCTAAAGATTTTTAGTGATGTCATATTGTGAAAAATGAATCAACCATAATTTGCCATCCAATAACAAACTGCATTTTATACAGAAAAAGGCATTTTTCTGTATCCTTCTGAGTTTTTTTTAAGTAAGTATATTTTCAAAAGAAAGTCTAATGAAAAAGTCAATTCTGTTTAAAAATAAGCCAAGAGATCTTTTTCTTTACAACAACCTGAGTGTCAGCCCTGCATAGTTACGAGAAACATTTTGTGAGAGTTGAAATCCCACAAAGTAAATACCCAACATAGGATTTTTCTTTAAGATGATTTTAAAATAAGTGTCCACATTCTCTTAGAGATTTGTTTGGTCATAAAATTCCTAGAGGCAGATAGACACAGAAAGGAAGGCTTTTCAACAAACTCACTCTAATACCATTTTCTCATAAGTTTACCATTAAAGCTCCATTACAAAACCATAGATTCATTCACTTGAAAAGAAAAAAAAAAGGACCTCTCAATAAAATGAAACCAGGGGACTTCCCTGGCAGTCCAGTAGTTAAGACTCCGTATTTCCACTGCAAGGGGTCGGGGGAGGTAAGGGGGCCACAGGTTCCATTCCTCGTCAGGGAACTAGGATCCCATATGCCATGTGGCACAGCCAAAAAACAAAATAAAAAAATTAAGACAAAAAGAAATAAAATACGCAGATATACAAAAGAAAATGTTTTGAATGCATTTTCCAAACAAACATTAACTATAATACTAAAAATATGATTAACGCTATGTTAAAATAAGCCACTGTGACTGAGTGGACTGAGGGGAGGGTATCAAGGACAAAAGCTGGAGGAAAATCTACACTAGAATGAATAGTGAGATAAAAGCCACAAAGGACAAATCAGACAGCCAGAAGGCGAGTAAGGAGGGAGAACACACCAGAAGCCCAGGTATCACGTCAGGGAGGAGATGCAACTGAAGCGTGTCCACTGGATTTGGTCTGACATCAGCAGCTACAGCGGGGTGAGGACATGTAAGAGGCAGTGGGAGGCCACAGCAAAGCCAGGCTGTGAACAGCCCAGAATCCAACAGGCTCCTGGACGGCTCTGAGGCATGGGGGAGGCAAGAGCTCCCCCATGTTCACGAGGAGGAGAGCATGAACATGAGGCTGAACTCGTGAACTGCTGATACGTAAATGTGGGCAGAAAGCTGACACGCTGAAAACCTCCCCAGCTGAAATGATAAACCACAGATTTATTGCAGCAGTCTTTTTTTTTTTCTCCTGTATCACCGAGAGGCCCAAATATCAGAGAAGAAACAGCAAATGGTTGAACTGACATTTCCGCAGAAGGTGATGGTTATTAGTACAAGGGGCTGAGGCCACTAGAGCTGAGAGACAAGTCAGAGGATAGGACTGAAGCAGGAAAGCAAAGAAAGGTGGCGGCACACATTGAGAAAAAAGAAGATTCAAGCAGAAGCAAAGGGCATAAGGAAATGAGAAACTGGAAATGTAAGTGGATGTCACCAGAGAGTGAGACAAGGGAATGAGATTCCAGGGAAGAATTCACTTGGGATGGTGAAGATTTTACAAACAAAAAGGCATCCAAATACCTCATTAAAAGCCCAACCACTTAAAAAAGAAACACTAAATACAATGCCATATCTCACAGCTAGCCTCTTGACAACAATTTTAAAAACAGTTAAAATATTGCTTTAAAAAACACAGCAGTCATATATTTACTTATATATATGTTTAATTTCATGAGAATAAATTGTTCTTCACTATAAAATGAATAAACGTATATGTCAAAAAAGAAAAAATTCCCACAATACCACTATCTTACTACAACTATTACTGCAGTTATTTTTATCATAGTTATAATCATATTGTTTTTTAAATTTCATACATTGTTTTCTAATTAGCTATATGCATTTTTTAAAGCCACACACATTTTTCCATTTTAATTTTAATACTTGCATGATATTTCATCAAGTAGACTCTCAAAAGTTTGAAATCAATTCTCCTACTGCTTATCTAATTTGGGGCTATCATAAATTATGCAGGGGTATAAATCAGCATGTATAATGTCACATTTTCATGCCTTACCTGAGAAGTAGATAATTAAGTGTCTGAGGTGGGAAAGTTGTCCCTAAAGATTGAAAGGAGAATAGCTTATTTTCAGATGTCCTATCTCACCAGGTCACTGACAAGCCAAAAGATTTACCTGGAAGAAATCTTACAAAACGTGGCATGAAATGAAATCTTGGACAGCAGGGAGGACTGTCTTCAAACAAAGGACCTAAAGCAAACAAGTGAAAAGGAAAGAAAAAATAAATAAAACTGCCTTGAGAAACAAACACTGAAACTTAATTCCCAAGATTTATGATAACTAAAAAAAAAAACACCAACACCAACAGAAGTAGGGACATAACAAACACTGCCCCCACTTCAACTCAATAGCTAAACCAATCGTGGAAACTGCCACAAACATCCCATGAAGACTGCAGTGAGGAGACCCCCCAAAGAAACGGAAGCATGAAAGCCCAAAGGATATATATAGTATATGGTATATACAGTAAAACTAGTTTTAGAAATTCAAAGATACAAAGATTTTTGTTATAATTGAACTATTGCATGATATAATATGCTTATGTTTTCACTGTGTCCCATTTTAATCAATACAACTGGGGAAAAAAAACCGAGAAATACTATTCAAAATTTGGTTTGAAAAGCCGTTCATCAACACACTGTTTTAAAAATAAATAAATAAATGTCTGATGGAACAGAGGCATTTACAAAAGTGGATTATCCAAGAACCAATTATCAAGTTTTGAACTGATGTAGCATACAGTGTGTGTGTGTTTTAAGAGTTAACTAAAGTTCTGTTTTAATGAACTGTCATTTTGGAAGAAGTTTATTACAGTAAAGTCCAACAGACTTAAGATATTAACTAATAAGATTTCCCCAATGCAGATAAATCAAGGTAGTTACTCAACATAACTGATACCATCTTCCTAGGTACCAGTTACTTAACAATTAATGGTAATCCTCCATAATGGACATGGTCCATCTGTAGTTAAATGAGACCCATAACAACTCATTTATGTCAAATGATAAAAAGCATGTCTATGAATAATAAACTTTTCCCTGCAGTTCAAAAGTGAGAGGAATTTCAACTATGTACCCCCACTTTTTTATGAGTTTTCACATAAACCACAACATTCTCCCACAAGCACTACCCTTTTCTTTAAATCCTATTTACCTTTGAGATTCCAGTCATACAATTCCAAAATATCTCTGAATAGGAATAATGAAAAGAGTTCAAGTCCTTTCACACAAAAATTCTGAAAAATAAACCAGAAACCCAAGTTACTATAGTACTACAACTATATATTAACTGATGCTTCAGCTTGTTTTAGTCAAGTGTTTTAAAAATTGTCTACTGCAACTGTACTAAAACAGTTTAATTTCCTAAAAAACTTGGCCACTGTCCTACAGTAGCTCAGTGTCTTAAAACATTAATGAAGTAAGCAATAATGTCATTAGAATTCCTAAGAAGATGTGGGCTTGGCCCTTCTCAATGTACAAATAAAGTGATGTGAAATTTAAAAATCTAAGCCTCTTTTATGTCATATTTTTCTAACCCAATTATAAAACATACCAGAATCTCTTAGGGACTTTCTGTTAATTCAAACTACACAGTGAGCAGCCAACTCTGATAGATTTGTCCCCAGCACCACTCCCCCCCATCTCTGCTCACCTCCACCCCTCAAACACACCCACAATCACTATTGCCAAGTTACCATAAATTAGAGGTCTCCGTGCCCAAAAAGTTCCAGCTCTTAATGAAGGCAAATAAAGGGCTACCAAAAATGACAGAACTTTGTACCAAAATTTCTGCTGTAAACAAGCTTAACAGATGATATATCTGCGAGTGAGACTTGTCTCATAATTCTTCCTCCTACTTGTTTTGCTCGGGGTTCATAAATCACCCTGCGTGAGATCACGCCAGAAGTCATCAACTTTTACAATAGCAAATGAAGGCTTATGACCTTAAAAATCAAAAGGAAGCCAAAAAGCCCTTCCAAGCTGAAGAATGAAGGGGCGGCCCTTTCTCCTTAATTCTTTTTGAAAGACAGGTAGAATTAACAGGACTTGCTCAGAATGAAATAGGTGCAAACTAAGCGTGCGTGTCATGCTCATCAATCCCCGTGCTGCCCTCGACAGAGCCGCACTGTTAAACAAGGTTTGCAAGAGGAGCCAGGGGCTCAGGAGATCGACCCCGACTCCAACACAATGTTAAGTGCACAAGCTTGTTTGCTGTCTAGTTGTTATTTCTTAGTGTGATTTGTTGACACCACTAGAGTCAAGATCAGGCAATGAATCATTCTGAGATTCACATTAATCTTGCTTTGGAATTTTAAACCTCTTGCATATATTTAGATAAATCTGCTGCTGAGCATCCGCAGCGAAAAACAATTAGGAAAAATATGTAAATATATGGGAAGAAAAATGAACCAAGCATTGATCTTGTCACTGGAGATAATGAATAAGATTATTCCAACAGCTATCAGATTCAGTTTCACTTTTCTAATTTCCTCTCTGATAACGACCAGTAACCAAAAGCTGTCCCTTGTCCAAAACAAACTAGAAACAGATGTAAAGTTACCACCACGTAACTTTCAGTAGCTGCCACAGGAGGAGAAACGGGTTCAAAAATAGGTCAAAAAGTTGGAAAATGACCTGAATTTTAACCTCGTTCCTAAAGCTACATCTGACTACAGTTACCTCTGACTGGTCTTTTTCAACAGTGAACACAATACTTTAAGAGTATCCTTATGGCAAAAAGCCAGAGCTGGTCAAGTTCAGAGCTTTAAAGATACATAACTATGGAATAAACAAAAGAGCAAACTGCATCAAGCTGTTAAAGAATCTTCTCTCTTACCTCAGGCATCATCTCTTCGATGAAATGAATCGTGTAGTCTATGTTGAATCTAATTACTTTACACAGTGGAATCTGTAATAATAAGAAGGAGAGGGTCAGTTTCAAAATGCCTTCCTGGGCTCACTACTGTACACGTGTTGGCTACCTGACCCAGAAGGCCATGAACCAAATTAGAAAGTTTCACCTTAATCTAAGCTGCTAACAATGCTGCACATGAAGCTTGACCACAACTGCTGGATTTTAATGCAAGAACCCAGCTGACCTGGTCTCTACAGGAAACCTGCATAATGTTGGTGTTTAATTAACTGTATTAGCAGCAGCAACACAAACATGACAAGAACTCATTAAATCCAAATATATTGCCTCTAAAGAATTAATAAAACCACAAATACTTCTTTCTCTCAGGTTTTTAAAACCTTTCAGAATCTTGAGCTCTTCAGGCAGATCTGGGATAGCAGGCTGACAATTCATCAGTTACAGATTCATAAGTCACTGAAGTACACACAACTCATGCTGCCTTTCTGGCTCTGGAGCAAAAGCAATCATGGCAATAAAAATAATAATAGCTAACACTTACTAGCTAGGTAGGCCCTGTTCTACTGTTTCATATACTGTCACTCATGTAGCCATCCTGTGAGATAGGTACAATTATTCTCCTTAGTGTACAGTGGAAGAAACAAAAAACAGATCAGATACTTTGCCTAAGGTAATATGTGTTAAGTGTCTTAGTCACTCCGTCATGTCCAACTCTTTGCGACCCTATGGACCATAGCCCACCAGGCTCCTCTGTCCACAGGCTTCTCCAGGCGAGAGTACTGGAGTGGGTTGCCATGCCCTCCTCCAGGGGATCTTCCTGACCCAGGGATCAAACAAGTGTTTCCTACATCTCCTGTATTGGCAGGTCGGTTCTTTACCACTAGTGCCACCTGATAACAGGTATCTGGTGAATTAGAAACCCGTGCTCCAGACACCAGTTCTAAGCCACTAGGGTATCCATCTCTCATTACCTGTCCTAATAATATATGCCCTAATACTCAGGGTATATGTATGAAAGAAAGCTCAGATGAAATAAATCCACACTTTACCAATGGAGCATCAGATACCAGCCTAGTGCCCAGATTTAAGAGGTTTTCTCTAGGCATATTTTTGAATGAACGGAGGACTGAGAAAGGGAGGGGTGTGAGGTTAGAGCAGTGGTTTGGCTGAGTAGCTGGGGAAACTAATAGACTCAGAAGCCCTAGAGATGTGTTAAGCAGGCTTTTCTGGCCACTCGATCTGTCCATAAGATGATTTTATATAAATGCCACCGTTTTTACAAACCACAGCAATTAGAAACAAATTTTAATTCCACTAGCAAAAGGAATGGTAAGAAAAACAGTCTTACAATGCCATCTACTGGAAATCTTTTTCTCAGAAATGAAGTTTAGCTCTTAGGTGTTTTTTTTTTTTTTTTTGAAGGATAGTGGCTAATTTAAGTGAAATTCATAATTAACTTTAATAAGAGATCCATTTTCAACTTTCTTATTGATAATGGGTTCTAAACCAGCTGAAGCAACATGCTAAGGCCACTATGATTTTTAAGTTCTTTCTTCCTACAAGCATTTAAAAATATTTGAGCATAGTTTATGAATAATTTGTGCAATTGTTCATAGTTTTAAAATACATTACTAACAATCGATAGAGTCATAGATACTCTAAAATAGGCCACACCCTCTGTCTTTTAAAAAGGCGGGGATCTGAGAGAAAAGCATGTAAACAAGAATAAACAGAGTATGATATAGTGCAACCTGTCAGGGCCATTAAAAAAACAAACAAAATATTGAATAGTATAAAGTAAAAAAGAATCAAAGAGGAGGTAACATTTGAGTTGAGTCTTCAAAGATGAGAAGGAATTTTCCAGATCATCCAGAAAATTAATTGGGAAAGAAAAAGGTATTTGTTTATTCTTTTAAATTAATTTTTATTGGAGTATAGTTGCTTTATAATGTTGTGTTAGTTTCTACTGTATAGCAAAGCCAATCAGTCACAGATACACATGTATCTCCTCCCTTTTTGATTTCCTTCCTATCCAGGTTACCACAGTGCATTAAAGAACAGGAATTTAGTTTCCAGCAAGACAGAGAAAAAGGAGCTGGGGCCAAAACAGGTCATTCAGCTCTTCAGGAGTGAAATGCATGGAGACAGAGACACAAGGAAATGCTAAAAAGTATGAACTATATTCTGCAGATCTTATAAACTAGGTTAAGGATTCAGAGCTTCTTGGCAACAGGAAGTCATTCAAGTGCTTTAAGTGAGAGACCAACACAGTTTCACATGGACGGGTTGCTGCGTAAACAGGGTGGGAAGGGCGTACAGAGAAGCAAGGCAAGAGACCGGGAGTCTAATGGAACAGTCCAGGAGCCGAATGAAGAAAAGTCCAAAACAAAGGGGAAGAATGTTAGACATAGGAGATGGGACGGAAATACACAGTGACCATGCTGACCTGGAAGTGAGAGAGAAGAGAGAACAGAGGATAATTTCCAGGTTTCTAGTCTAAGGGAATAGATAGGGCAGGACGACATCAATACAAGGAAATTCACAGGGTGTAACCCTAAGCCCCTTAAACTCAGTATGTAGAGAAGATGACCAGTTCAGTTTCGCCCAAGTTAAGGGTGAGGGACCCGAGGGGACATCAAGTTGGGTGTGTCCAATGCGCAATCTGAGATGTGAGTGTGAAGCACAGAGCCGTGTGTCACAGCTATAGATATTAATGTCAGAACATGCATGAGAGGAACAAACACGGGTGACACTGCATGACGTGGGGAGCGCACTCAGGAGAGCAAAGGACCCTTGGGAAGAGTTGAGAGGCAGAGAAAGGGCCGAAGTGTAAACTTCACTCCTGCTCTGTGCTTCAGCAGCTCTGCTGGTGATTAATGCAACTACGGTCCCTTCCTCAGCGACTTCAACTAAAATCACCCTGGGGGACTCCTTCTTTAACCTCTCCTCTTACACATGCTGTATTTTCCTTGGGGCAGTCACCCATACCACTAGAGCCCTTCTCAGACACACAAACTTGGGAAGGCAGAGTCTCCCTTTCTATTCAAACTTTCATCTCTAAGACTCAAAGAGAGCTTGTCCTTTTCCTATATATTGGAACTCGGTTGGTCAATCAAACAATATAAACGCTCTTGATCTTTTCTTAAAACACATTTGAGCAGTGACTAACACTAACTCCCATCTCATCCTACCAGAAACAAACCAAAAAACCATCCCTAAACTTCTACATTCTAACTCGACTATTTCCAGGCACTAAATGACTGCAATTCAGGACAGCAAGGCCATTGGAAATGTAAAGCCAATTAAGGCAGCGGGGAAAGGATCGTGGCGTTTCTTTGTGCTTTTGAGGGCGGGATAAAATATTATGTATGTAATACACAAATCTAGGTAACCATAGTTATGTTATCGAAGTTCTTAAAAACACTAGGTATTATAAGTAATGACAAATGTACTATATAAATAGATAAAATTCTCCTGGAATGCTCTATACTTAGCCAACAAGGCTTTCAATCCACTTTAATTCAAGAAGACCTTAAGAGAACCTGTCAAAACTAAACTGGGTTGAGATTCTAACATTACCATCATTTACATGCCCTTCATGCTGATGTGTTCTCTCTGGCAAGAAAATGAATCAGAATAGTAAAGCGATTTAATAATTCTTTTTCTTGGGAGGCTATTTCAAATTCAAGAGGCCTTTGATGGATCTAATTCCTATGAACTCTACAACACTCAGCTTAAAACTCGATTTATTTTATCAACATCTCTAACATAAATGATGGGGCTTATCTTCTCATTACAGAGTTAAGTTCTCAAGTTCTGAGAGCTTGAATATTTATATATATACACACACACACATATACACTGAAGCCAGGAATTTTTCAGTCCTATCTTTTATTTTATAGGAACAGTAACAACTGCAATTAATTTCACACTAGCAGCCTCTCAGTGCCAAAACCTTGTGTTGAGAAACTTTAATAAAGCTCAAAGAATCACTCCCAGGTCACATAAGTACCAAGAATCAGTTTAAAAAAAAAAAAGAATTAGCAGAAAAATGCAAATGTCTGTCTGACATCTTATCCAAAATAATAAGTGCCAAATGTACTGTATATTAAACATCATGATAAATACTTTTGATGTGTCATCCATTTATTTTTTATAAAAGCCAGTAAGAGTACCACAACTAATAACCTCTATTTTACAGATGAGAAAAGTCAAGGTTTATAAAAATTGAAATGTCAAATCATACAGCTAGTAAATAGAATCACTAAGGTTTAAACTCTCTCTGAAGCCATACAGCTTTCCTTCTTTAAAGCGACCCTAAAAGTTAAAGTGAGATCTATATTACTCAAAGGGAATTAACAGATAAGACAGACAATTTTCAAGTATTTTCATGGTAACTAACTTTATTGTATTTGCAAGTCTTCTGAGGGAAAAAAGAGAGAAGTGTATAATGTAGGGGCAAGTTGGACTAAATGAATTCTAAAGGCCTTTGCAACTCTAAGACAATGAGATTTAGTGTAACAAAGGGTTTGAGGGCCTAACTGAGACATTTAAAAAGTAATAAAATAAGAAACCTCCAAATTTAAAAACGTCCTAGTGCCTTTTCATAAAAATTGTTTAAAAATTGTCTAAGCAACCTACACATCCATTGACAGATGAATGGATATAGAAGATATGGTACATATATACAATGGAATACTACTCAGCTATAAGAAAGAACAAAATGGGGAGGGAGGTTTAGAAGGGAAGGGACATATGTATACCTATGGCTAATTCATGTTGATATTTGACAGAAAACAACAAAATTCTAAAAGCAATTCTTCAATTAAAAAGGTAATTAATTTAAAAAGACCAAAATAATGTCATCTGAAGCAACAAGGATGCAATTAGAGATTATCATACGAAGTGAAGTAAGTCAGAAAGAGAAAGACAAATGCCATACTGTGTCACTTACATGTGGAATCTAAAATATAACACAAATTAACCTATCCACAAAACAGAAACAAATACACAAACATAGACAGCAAATTTGTAGTTGCCAAGGGACAGGGGAAGAAGAGGGATATACGAAGCGTTTGCAAACTATTATACTTAGAATGGATAAACAGCAAGGTCCCACTGTGTAGCTCAGGGAACTGTATCCTGGGATAAACCATAATGGAAAAGAATATAAAAAAGAATGCATATGTGTTTATAACTGAGCTTTGCCGTATAGCAGAGATTAATTAGCACATCATGTAAATCAACTTTACTTGGATTAAAAAAAAATAGTCCAATTAAAAAATTTGTAAGTATGTATGGTGGTGGATGTTAATTACACTTATCATGGTGATAACTTATAATATATACAAATACTGAATCATTATGCTGTATATCTGAAACTAGTAACATTATATGTCAATTATATCTCAATAAAAATATAGTTCAATATTACATGATCTTCTATATTATGGTTCACCCTAGAGATATGTGATATGTATTATCAAGTGATTTTATTTTTACACTTACAATGTAATCATCTTCTCAAAAAAAATTCTCTGAGATAAAATACACTGTGGCATAAAGAAAATCTCATAAAGAAACAGTTTGTTTTAAATTAGTATCACTACTATGGAATCATGTCTACTAAAAAAAATAGAAAGTGGAAAGATTAGACACAGATTTTATTCTTTACTCTCCAATGGAACAGAATTTCACATATAAAATAAATTAAAATAACTTTTCAAACTGCAGATATAATTTCTTTCAACTAAACCAGAAAGATTTAAAGAACATTCTACTTCAATGTACATACACTGTACATGTAGCTATAAATTCAGTAAGTTCTATAGCAGTGTCTTGACTGGCTCATGGATACCTCTACATTCCCTTCCTGAGTCACCAGTGAATTCCACTCTACATCCAACTAGAATACACAGTAAGTAAGACAACCCCTAAGAGAGCCAGCTTTGAAACAGAAAGATTTTGACTTACAGATACAGGACTTCCATCTGAACCGATTACCAACAGATTGGCCTTAATAACTGTATAAAAATATCATGGATCTATATGTCAAAGTCTCTTAGAGAAGACGTCTTCCTGGGATGCAAAAGCAGAAAACTATGAAGTTAACTCAGGCTCCAGATGTCCCGACCAAGCTCTATTTCTTTACCTATGACTCACAGACTAAGTAATAGCTTCTCCTTAAAACTTTCCAACTCTCTTTTGAAGGACACCCACCCCAAAATAGTTTTGACACATTACTCCACAGTTTATCCTTCTTTTTCAATCTTTCACACTCTCAAAATGTTATTCTGATACATGTTTACTTACACCATCTAATGTGGACCAAACCTGTGAATCATTAGCACAGATGTCACACTCCCACCTGACACACGCTGACGCTGATTTCCTGTAGCTTAGGCAAAGGGATGTAAAGTAGCTGTTACTTAGAAGTCAGAGGAAAAGAAATTTCCTCTGACTTTTAGAAAGAAACGGGGCACAGGGAAGGAGAAAGTCGGCCAAGTAGCACATACTTACATTGGTCAGGGGGGCGTGTGCAAACATAGAAAATCCTTCAAAGATATACTCGTGATCATCGTATTCGATAACAGTTGGCCTGTCAGTCTAAAAGCAAAGAGAAACATGAAGCGTGAACAAATGATATGACTTGCATGCACAGTATCCATGAGCACACAAAGCAACCAACCAAAGCAAGCAAGGATGGGCTCCTGCTCACGTTCTCCCAAACACCCAGGGAGAAACTTTACAAAGAAGCTTAATTCTAGCTTGGTAGGAGTCTCTGATTTCAGTTATATAGTAGACAATCAAGGAGGTTTATTATGGCTGCCATAAAGGGAAAAAGGCTACATGACTTCATTTTCTAGGAACTTGTTTTATTTAATCTCATAATACTGTCAGTCCTATTCTTACTAAACTATATTTCTGTTCTAACAGAAGTCCTAACAAGAAAAAGATAATAACACAGCCAAATCAAAGCTCAAAGTAGAGAAGACTAAGCATCACAACCGTCAAAACAAGCTAGCCTGGAAGGCTCCGAAAGGCCCCAGGCACCAGCAGCGCCTTCCCTCACAGCTCCATCCCCAGACCCTCCAAGGAAAAGCCCAGCCAGCATAACAAACCAATTCTTGCATAATGTCAAAGATCTTAATTACCTGGAAATAGAATCTAATTAAAATATACAAATGTTGATCTAAGCATAAGAGATTCTCTTCATTATGCCATTCTTATGTCTGCCATTTTTAATCCTAAATGCTAAACATGGAGCAAATGATCAAGATTAGAAACCTAAAAGACATGCTTTTTTTACATAGATATTGAACATTATTCTTTTAAACATTTATATATATATAAACATTTATACACACACCTACACACACACATATATATATATGAAAAGCTTAGGTGGGTAGGGGAAACTAAAGAATATCCAAACGCACATTATTTGTTTTTCAAATATTACTGCTAATTCCCATCCGAAAAACTCAACAAAGTTGTCCTAAATTAACTATAACGAGAGAACTTCAAATGAAATAATAATGGTACAGCCATTTTGGAAAATAGTTTGGTAGTTCCTCAAAATACTAAACACAGATTTACCACACAATCCTAGCTAGCCTGGAAGGCTCCGAAAGGCCCCAGGCACCAGCAGCGCCTTCCCTCACAGCTCCATCCCCAGACCCTCCAAGGAAAAGCCCAGCCAGCATAACAAACCAATTCTTGCATAATGTCAAAGATCTTAATTACCTGGAAATAGAATCTAATTAAAATATACAAATGTTGATCTAAGCATAAGAGATTCTCTTCATTATGCCATTCTTATGTCTGCCATTTTTAATCCTAAATGCTAAACATGGAGCAAATGATCAAGATTAGAAACCTAAAAGACATGCTTTTTTTACATAGATATTGAACATTATTCTTTTAAACATTTATATATATATAAACATTTATACACACACCTACACACACACATATATATATATGAAAAGCTTAGGTGAGTAGGGGAAACTAAAGAATATCCAAACGCACATTATTTGTTTTTCAAATATTACTGCTAATTCCCATCTGAAAAACTCAACAAAGTTGTCCTAAATTAACTATAATGAGAGAACTTCAAATGAAATAATAATGGTACAGCCATTTTGGAAAATAGTTTGGTAGTTCCTCAAAATACTAAACACAGATTTACCACACAATCCAGCAACTCTAGTCCTAGATTTATACTCAAAGGAAAGGAAAACATACATCCACACAAAAACTTGTATATAAACGTTCATAGCAGCATTATTCATAACAGCCCAAAAGTGGATACCACCCAAATGTTCTCTGACTGATGAATGGATAAATCAAATATAGTATATCCATACAGCAGGATATTATTTGGCAGTAAAAAGGAATGAAGTTACATATTATACCATGGATGAATCTTGAAAAAGATTTTGCTAAGCAGAAGAAACCAAAATGATCACACATTGTATGATTCTATTCATATGAAATATCTAGAGTAGGCAAATGATAAAGACAAAATATGTTAGTAGTTGCTGAAGGCTGGGGAGTAGGAAAGAACTGACTGCTAATAAGTACAGGGTTTCTTGGGAAATGATGAATATGTTCTAAAATTAGATTGTGGTGTTAGTTTCACAATTCTAAATATCATGAAATATGTATTTTAAATGGGTGAGTTATGGTATATTAATCATATTCAATAAAGTTGTTAAATAATTATTGATAATCTAATTCTGAAGGACTTCCCAGTGGTCCAATGGCTAAGACTCTGAGTTCCCAACACAGGGGACCAGGGTTCGATCCCTGGTAGGGGAACTGGACCCCACATGCCACAGCTAAGAGTTGGTATGTGGCAGTGAAGATCCCAAGCACCCCAATAAGTCCTGGAACAACCAAACAGTGTGCCCAGTCATGTCCAACTCTGTGCAACCCCATGGACTGTAGCCCGCCAGGTTCCACTGTCCATGGGATTTCCCAGGCAAGAATACTGGAGTAGGTTGCCATCTCCTTCTCCAGGGGATCTTTCCAACCCAGGGATAGAACCTGGGTCTCTTCTACCTCATGCATTGGCAGAAGGATTCTCTACCACTGTGCCACCTGGGAAGCCCCTATACTAAACCTGATCTTAGGCAAAAAGCTGAGAAGTGATCAATAATAAATAAAATATTCCTTCAAATAGGAAAGTAACTTTTATGTGGAAAAACATTAAAAAAAATCTAATTTTGAAATTGAAATCTCTTAATAAAAAAATGTAACCAGAATTAATTAATTATACTGCTGTGAACAGCAGTATAGCACAGTAACACCACTTACAGCTGTGTACTACAGAGTCAGTCTGCCCACGTTCAAGTCCCCACTGTGCCACATGTTGCCTGGATAATCTTCAGCAAGGTACTTAACCTTATTTGTGCAACATGGACAACTGTCCCATCTGCATACTGGGGAAAACAATACCTACTTCATCAACCTTCTGTGAGAAATGAGTTAATACATTTCAAACGCAGAATGGTGCCTGGTACCATAGTCAACAAATATTAGGCATTTACTGCCATAAATGCAATAGTTATGGGTCACTAGATAATATATAAGTTATTCGCCAATTTTTAAGAGATGCACAAATGTTCTGTGCATTCTTCCAACTCTATAGTTCCAACAGACCTATCCATAATCCACTGGCTATTATGAGGTAGCAACAATATAAAAGAAAAATGACACAGAAATTAGTATAATGAGAGGAAGCCAAATTAAAGTCATTAGGATAAAGGCCAATTTTATCAGCATAAAAATAAAATATTTTTTTAAGAACTGAGTCCACACTTAGCCTATTCACATTTCAACCTATTAACACACATAGATCCTATTTATATTTCTTAACAAATGAAACAGATTTTGGTAGGAACTTACTAAAAAGTTTGTGGGAGGTGAGACTGTAATTCGATAGTGGAAAAGCCTGCCAGCATTGTTGGTCATAGGACGACAGGGCTTGATGGCCTGAGGGGAAAAACAAAAGTAAGTTTAAGAGTAAAGTGGCAAAATATTGTTACTCAAAACTAGACTGTATTTTCTAGATTCGCATCTGACAAAAGAGGTTTTGTGTGTTTTCCTTCACAAACTGGTAGGAAAAGAACAGTATTCACTTTACCATTAATTGAACGGATAAACATGGGTCGGCTGGTCACTGGTACTCAACCTACCTATTCACATACAATAGAGATCCTTCTAGAACTAAATTTCCATGACGATCGTCCTTTTCATTTGTAAAATAACACAATACTTGACCTTGCTAACCTCCCAATAAACCAAAAAGCAAAAAGAACAATCTCAGAAGTGATAGCAGTAGCCTATAACAGGAAGGGGAATAAAGTGATATGGTTAAATATGCTGAGTAAAAATAGAAGGAACCAGAAATGCAGGAAGCACAAGAATTGGTGGGACAGAACATGCATGGAGCTTAGGACAAGAAAAGGAAAGCAGCATCAGCAGAATCACTAGGTACTCTGACAGACACAGTGACGTGTGACCCAGACCACCCTTCAGGGAAGGACTTGCTGCCCTCTGTGAACAGTGTTGACAGCAGTCTCCAGCTGTCGGCTCCTTCAGGATCTGTCTGCGTCACGAGCAGAGCACCTTCACCTGATGGCAGGTGTATACTGAGCAAGACAGAGGTACGAAGTCCCAGCCACCACGGCCCACCTTGAACGCGCAATTCCTTGGGTCATCACCAGGTTGACCGGGGCTTTGTTGGGGCTGACTCACAGTTCGGCCAATCCCTCTGTCCAATCTTGCTCATACCCTCTTCCGCTCACAGGTGAAGATCCCTGAGAAACACCATGTGCCCCAGACTTCACCTTAGCATCTGCTTCCGAAGAATCCAGGGTGTGACAGTAGGTACCAGAAGTGATCCGAGAAAGCAGGAGGTAAGATAAGGTTTTGGAGCTGAATCACCGGCCATCCGACTGGCAATGAACCCATCACAATGCCTTGTGGCACACGTAGCCCCTGGCACCCGATAACATGCCAGCTGAAACTTTCAAAGAAGCTCAGTGGGAGACTACCAGCGGAAGCGGGTGCAATGTGCCAGGTATTGAAGACTTTGAGTGACCAGAAGTTGCACGCATAATGGGACGGATGACTACTGCCGAGCACCACTGATGCTCCACCTTGTTCCTCAAACTTAGGGTCATCTCAGACTGCTTGCTCCTCAAGCCCAGAAGTTTCTGATTCAGCAGCTGAGGCAGGCTTGAGAATCTGCACATCTACTAAGGTCTGAGGTGCTGCTGATGTTAGTCAGAAGGCCGCAGAGAACCACTGCTCTGCAGAGACGCAGCAGGAGGGGAGGAGGAGGAAAGGTAGCTGGAAATCAGACATGAAAGCAGAGGCCCTGCTGAAGGCCCACTAGGAGGCTCCCATCACCAGCAGTGAGAGGTCAGGGAGTCTGCCGGGACTGCACCTGGGGCTCACCGGTCAGAGCTGGTGGGCCTTAAAGACTAATTAACAACCATCCGCCATAGGCCTGTTATTCCAAGGTCAGGGCTATGGAACCTGGGATGAGGACATACAGGTTGACGCCTTGCTGTTGTTTAGTCACTCAGTCGTGTCCGACTCTTTGTGACCCCATGGACTGTAGTCCGCCAGGCTCCTCTGTCCATCGGATTTCGCAGGGAAGACTTCCCACTGAGTGGGTTACCATTTCCTTCTCCAGTTTGACTCCTTGCTGCTGCTGCTGCTGCTGCTAAGTCGCGTCAGTCGTGTCCGACTCTGTGCAACCCCAGAGACGGCAGCCCCCCAGGCTCCTCCGTCCCTGGGATTCTCTAGGCAAGAACACTGGAGTGGGTTGCCATTTCCTTCTCTAAGTTTGGCTCCTTCAAGTCTTCTAAACCTTCTGAATCTTCAGAGGCAACCTAGCCTTGTCTATGAAGAGCAAGTACTCCCCTGTCTGAAGACAAGGAAAGCCCCTGAAGATGACATTGTCCTCACCTCCCCGACCCCTTCATATCTCCCTACCTGACAAGAGACCTATAATTAGGGTCATTCCACAGCATAACTGCCAGGCTGGATGAAGCACAAGCTGGAATCAACACTGCCGGAAGAAATATCAATAACTTCAAATATGAAGATGACACCACCCTTATGGCAGAAAGTGAAGAGGAATTTAAAAGCTTCTTGATGAAAGTGAAAAAGGGGAGTGAAAAAGTTGGCTTAAAACTCAACATTCAAAAAACAAAGATCATGGGGCATCCAGTCCCATCACTTCATGGCAAATAGATGGGGAAACAATAGAAACAGTGACAGATTTTATTTTCTTGGGCTCCAAAATCACTGCAGATGGTGAATGCAGCCATGAAACCAAAGACGCTTGCTCCTTGGAAGAAAAGCTATGAAAAACCTAGACAGCAAAAAAAAAATAAAATAAAAAATAAAAAAAAAGAAAAACCTAGACAGCACATTAAAAAGCAGAAACATTACGTTGCTGACAAAGGTCTGTCTAGTCAAAGCTGTGGTTTTTCCAGTAATCATGTATGGATGTGAAAGTTGGACCATAAAGAAAGCTGAGTGCCAAAGAATTGATGCTTTTGAACTGTGGTGTTGGAAAAGATTCTTGAAAGTCCCTTGGACTTCAAGGAGATCAAACCAGTCAATCCTAAAAGGGAATCAGTCCTGAATACTCATTGGAAGGACTGATGCTGAAACTAAAGTTCCAATACTTTGGCCACCTGATGTGAAGAACTGACTCACTGGAAAAGACCCTGATGCTGGGAAAGACTGAAGACAGGAGGAGAAGGGGATGACAGTGGATGAGATGGTTGGATGGCATCACCGACTCGATGGACATGAGTTTGAGCAGACTCTCAGGGTTGATAATGGACAGGGAAGGCTGGCATGCTGCAGTCCATGGAGTCGCAAAGAGTTGGACATGACTGAGTGACTGAACTGAACAGCATAACTGGTTTCACATTTCACAGCTGGAAAGTACTGAGAGGAAACATAATATCCCACAGGAACTATAAGAACTAGCCAGTGCCAGCACGTGCCAGCAGCAGGGGTTCACAAGGGACTGGCAGTGTGTGATCAAGAGGACCAGAACACAGAGTTGGTTAGGGAAGAGCTGACTGAGTTGGGAGCATTCAGGATCCAAGGCCATCAGGAGATGCTGGCAACTCCCTACTAAGATGTCTCTCAGTCGTGTCTGAGTCTGTGACCCCACGGACTGTAGCCCACCAAGCTCCTCGGTCCAGGGATTCTCCAGGCAAGAACACTGGAGTGGGTTGCCATTCCTTTCTATAGGGGATCTTCCTGACCCAGGGATTGAATCTGGGTCTCCTGCATTGAACAGATTCTTTACCATCTGAGTCACCAGGGAAGTCCCACTCAGATGTCTTAGTAGTGTGAAAAAGCAATGGCCCATGCTGACTAAAGTGAAAATACCAAAACTGCCAGACAGACAGAAGAGGAAGGAATTCAAAGGAAAGATTCGAGGAAATGGGCACATTGGGATGGATATAACATCTATGCCCGAAAAATATACCAAATAATCATCTTTCATGGCCCAGAGGACATGCCACTGACCAAGGCCAAAAGGCACATGTTGGCAAAGGGGCACCAGCATCAGTAGGAAGAGATCAGTAGTGGCATCCTCTGCAGGCCAGGACTGAGCATAAGAGGGGGCTGACACAGTACACAGCTTGCTGACCACATCAGGGATGACAAGAGTCTGAAACCAGAGGCAAGATGATGGAGCTCATTGTAAGAAGCCAGGTTGCACAATTACCATCATGACCAGCAGGACTGAAGCAGCAGCCAAGGGGATCTGACCCAAAAGGGTCACAGAAGAGGCTTTCACAGTCTGGTGTCCTTAGGTACAAAATAAATGCGTAGCTGACAAGCATACCACCTGAGTTTGTGCCAAAGGAAGAAATCAAGACTGGACAAACAAGAGGCTTAAGGTACGTTGCTCCAATACACAGTCATAATCCCTTACCCAGTTCCAGACCTGATCAAGGTTACGGGACTGAAATCCACTGACTGAAAAGGTGCCCAAGAGGCCAGAGGCAAGGCCCTGTGACACGATCACAAGCAAAAATGGTCACGACAGCCCTGTCCTTCCCCAAAGGGGCCTATGGCCATTGTGTTCAGGGAACTGTACTCTGGGGAAGGAAGAAGCCAGACAGTTCAAGGAGTGCTGGACACAGCATCTGAATCAACTGATTCTCAAAGACTGGACATATCATCCTGGTATCCCTGTCAGAGTGGGGGGAGATGAGGCCAAGGTAGTACAGATCTGGTCAAGGTCTGGCTTATAGGAGGTCCACTGAGTCTACAGATCCACCCAGTGGTCATTTCCCTGGTCCCCAGATGTACCACTGGAATTGAC